GATATGGAGAAAAAGAACAGCTCACTGGGAGGAACACAAATTTTAATCGAACTAAGATATCCTGTATTATCGAAGATGTGGATAGTTTATTAACCCGTAAACTTAGACCTGAGCAGTGCCTTCCGTAAACTTAGGATCCTCGCACCTGTACTTCCCATCAGGCCCAATGCCAAACCCCTTGGGGTCTGCAAAAACATTTTCCAGCAGCTGGCTTCTTGGGGGATGTGGACTTGAATCTGCAAACTCTACAGCTTCTTCAATAATGTCATCTATCTTTTTCTCGATAGCCTTCAGCTCTGATTCACTTGCAAGGTTCTTTTCAAGAATATACTTCTTCAAACTCACGATAGGATCTCTTGCAGCATAATGTGATTTCTCATCTGCCAAAAATGAAAATTGCTTAGTAATCCTTAATGTAATATGGGTTTTGACAATGAATAAAGAAATCGGTTATAAGGATATATGATAATAGATTTCTGGATGTACATGTCAGAACTATGTTTATGTAAGTGCGTGAACATGAAAAATGCTTAGTAATCCTTCATGTAATATGGGTTTTGACATTGCTTAAAGAAATTATATTTCTGTAAGTTTGCACAGAACTTATTTTCATTTATTGATATGATGCTAAAAAACAAGATTGATCTTAACCCAATTAGGAAAGAGAAGATGTAAGCAATAAAATCCATGGATATTAAAACCATAATGTCATTAAAAATGCATGGAAGCATTGTAACTAATCAAAATAGTCGATCCTTCGATAACCTGAACCTGGTTGGCATGCATGATTCTTGTTCCTCAGAATGTATAGTTGGGCATGGATAAAAGAAATGATTTACCAGGATATCCATAAGACAATATAATTAAACTTCTTATCAATGTTACTTACTGAAATTTAATGATGCAAATAGCTCTTTAACACCGTATAAAACATAAACATACAAAATGTTCCTTAAGATATTGTTCAGGGCTTATGGCCTAAAGTATCAAAAGAACAAGAAGCAAGAGAGTACACCAATCAAATATCATAAAGTCATCCTAAAATGCAAGCTACCGGAAATCTAAACGATTCATCTTAGAAAATTGAGCTACACTTGTCAAATAGATAGTGTCTCATAAATTTCAACAAGCCATTTACTCTAAGTACCACACTCTTTGTAATTAAATAGAATAAATCTGCAATGACTCCTGCAAAGTCAATACGTTTCTCGGCACTGTTGCTGCATACGGCTATTTGCACTAATAGAATAGTATATGGTGCAAAAGTTTCAATTAAAATCCACAATTATTTTCTTAATTTTCAATTATGATATTGTCAAAACTTTTCCATCATCTTTTACCCAATTTTACTGAAATTCCATCTGTTTATGCAATTAGGATTCTTCTACAGCATCTCACGATAACAAGATTACTGTGTGAACTAAACTATGCAGATCATCCAAAAGAGTCAACTAACAAGAACAAAATAGAAAAAAAAGGTACTAATCAAATAGTGCATGACAGAAAAGGCAGTATATTTCAATCTCACCAGCCTTCCGGAGCTCATCAGGATCAGCAAGTGAGTGCCCCCTAAAACGGTAAGTCTCACACTCAACCAGTGTGGGTCCTTCTCCATTCCTCGCTCTTGCGATCGCTTCCATCGCCACCTCCCGAACCTTCAATACATCCATCCCATCAACGTGCACCCCGGGCATGCCGAATGCTGGTCCCTTCTTCCAGATCTCAGGGTCGGAAGTCGCTCTAAGGTGCGACATCCCAATTGCCCATAGATTATTCTCCACAACAAACACGATGGGCAGCTTCCAGAGCTCAGCCATGTTGAGGCACTCAAAGAATTGACCATTATTGCAGGTCCCGTCACCGAAGAAGGCGACGGTGACATCAAGGCCGTCGGGCCTAGCCTCCTTGAGGACCTCGTGGCGGTACTTGGACGAGAACGCGGCACCAGTAGCCACTGGGATACCTTCACCTATGAAAGCAAAGCCACCAAGAAGATTATGGGGTTCAGAGAACATGTGCATGGAGCCGCCCTGGCCACGACAGCAGCCGGTAGCCTTGCCGAAGAGCTCAGCCATGACGGCACGAGCGGGGACACCCTTGCTGATGGCATGGACGTGATCTCGATATGTGCTAACGACGCTATCCCGGGTTTCAAGGAGCTTAATGAAACCGGTGGAGACAGCTTCTTGGCCGTTGTATAGGTGGACGAAACCAAACATCTTGCCACGGTAGTACATTTGCGCGCACATGTCCTCAAAGACGCGCCCCAAGACCATGTCCTCGTACAGCTCCAACGCCTCATCTCGGCTTATTACCGCCTGCAGTCGAGATCAAACAGCATCAGATCCATATATAACCCTCAAAAAGATGAAATTTTGCCACCCGTGTGGGCACAAAGATCCCACCTTGAGAGTCGGATAGCGAGAAAAAAGATGGGATTTTGAGAGCCTTTTCTGCCACAAGATCCAATTTTTCCGGAGTACCTTTCATCAACAGATTTTAGGGGAGCGGGATGGGACGTACCTGGTAGGAGGGGGAGGAATTAGAGCCAAGGGGCTTCTGGCTGCTGAGGACGTCAGAGGAGACGGCAAGGGGAGGGCGGCCGAGGCGAGGCGACCTGAGGGGCGAGCTGTGGATGCCAGGTGCGGCAGCCGGCGAGCAGAGGAAGGGGGAGGAGGGCTTCTCGCCGGTAGATCGAGCGGCGACGACAGCGGGAAATGGGATCCTGACGGCGGAGAAGGCCGACATTTCTCTTCGCCTCAAAAGCTACACCTGCGATGAGATCTTGAGAGCGAGAGATGTGGAAGGGCGGGGGAAGGGGGGACGAGATATGAGAGGGAGGCGAAAGGCGACGGGCGGAGAGACCGATGCAGGATCGCGTGGGAAATGTCGCGTTGAATTAATGATTTGGAATGGCTATAGATGGCCCAATCTGCTTGTGAGTTAGGGCTGCTCAGTTGTAATAATAATAATAATAATATTAATAATAATAATATTAATAATATTATTATTATTATTATTTTAAAAAATATATGGCAAAATTTTTATGTAATATTTTTTATAAATAATTATTTTATCCGTCAAATTTGTTATCGTTCTACATCGTCCTTATGTCGGATCCATAACTTGTTACCCTCACATGAGAAAGAAGGGGGCGCAAAGACCACTGTCACTTCTGTAAACTCCACTGGTCCTACCCCTATATGCCTCACCTGTAACTCTTAGAGGGGGTACAATAGTTGTCGTCTTCACAAACATTGCTCTTGTATGTCTCATTCTCAACTCTCGCATAAGCAAGAAGGAGACATGATGGTTGTTATTGTCTCCATAGATTTTATTGGCCCCTATCAGACCCTTCATCGGTCTCGTGGTGCGAGAGCTATAAGTGATAGATCGATAAGGTGATGGTGCATATCAAAACCGACAATCCAAAGAAAAACAATGATAAAATAATTTTTTCACATAAGCAAAAAAAAAATTTGACCATAAATTTCTAAAAATAGAGGTATTTTTTAAACAAATTCATCCGTAACGACAACAATAATATTATATTATTTTTTAAATTTGTTCAACGACGTATTGTCTTCTGTACAAAATAATTAACATATGATTTTTGTTTTGTTACTTATGCTTATGCCTTTATGATTAATATCTGTCAGCTGATCATTACTTGACCATTAGTTATAATTATAATTGAGATTAATATCATTTTTATTATTTCTATATTTCGATTTAAACAAAAAATAACGGTTAACCAGAATAAATAATTGATTTTTAAGTAAGTATTTATAATAATGCTTTATTATTAGAGAATTCTTATATACCAATGAGTTATGACAATGATCTCTTAGGCCCTAAGAAGTTTCAAACGTGAACCTCAAATATTAGGAGGTGGCACATTAATAGCTAGCTATTAAGTCGATAGGTCACCACCTGTTTGGGTCACCAATGACATTAAATTTCGTCTCCTTGGATGAGCTTCATTAATAATATGTAACGCGAGCTTCTAAATGGATGCTAATAGGAAGAATATATATATAATCTCTATATTTGAAAAATATATATATGTTATATTGAAACCTTTAAAGCTGATACAATATTTTCAAACTCTATACAGATCATTAAGCTCTTTATTTGGGGCTTTGCCCAATATAGTCCCTAAATTCTACTTAATTTGTACGTTCAACCTAATAAGCATCAAATTAATGCTATTTTAGATGACGTTAAGCAAATTACATGGATGTTAAGTACACATTTCACATTAAAAAATTTTTACTTATGGCCTTTTATCCGATGATTCCCTTAATTGATTTTCACATGCGAATATATTCTCCTCCATCGATCATCCGTCGTTGTTAGCTCACCCTTCCACGCCCTCCACCTTTCTCATCCTTTCCTCTCCACTCGTCCCTCTTTGTCGTCTCTTTTCTCCCTCGACTTACATCTTTCGATATCTTTCTCTTTAGAAGTCATATAATCTTACGGAATGTTGATGATGTAAAAAAAAAAACCACAAGTAAAACCTAGTTAGGAAGGAGGCTCCACCACCAAAAATAAAAAAAACAATTATTTTAGACAAAATGTCCAAAAAAATTCTCATTTTTTATGATTTTACATAAAGTTTTAAATAAAAATTACTTCTTTAATATATTAAAATTATTTTAGTATACATAGTGGAAAAAAATCAAGCAAATGTCACTGATAATAAAATTATGAAAATTAAGTTATTTTCTGGTTTTGTTTCACCAAACGAATTCTTCTCGAACTAAATCGGGGTAGAACGGATCCGACTCCGATCGAGTCGGCACACCACTCTCTTCCACCATTGTGTCTCGTTTCCATCAGCCGTCGCCCGATTCGCTTCAGTTTGGTCCATCTTCACCACTATTCAAAGATCACTTGGGTGATGCATGGACTCCACAGGTGGCCAAAATAGTAGACATGAACCAAAGCAGGCAGCTAATAAATGCCATTAACATGCTCGGGCATCAACAGTGGCATTTCAACAAGATGAAATCCAGATCAAGATGGTCAATTGAAATCTAACTCCAAAACCATAACGGGTCCAACATAAGATTACTCAAGTCACCATAGTTCTCTTAGATGATAAATAAAACTTACAGAAAACCAAAACACCAGATGCCTATTTCTCACTAGCAATTTAAGAGGTCTTCTCTGCCTTGGCAGCGGTTGCGGCAGCCTGTCCCCTGAGACGACCGGTCCTCCTTGCGGCGATGAGACCAACCTTCTGTCCAGGAGGAGCATCACGGCGAACGGTGGAGGCATGTCCGATGTGCTGGTGATTTCCTCCTCCGTGGGGATGCTCCACAGGGTTCATAGCCACACCACGAACCTTCGGCCAGCAGTTCCGTTTCACTCTGAACTTGTGGTAGGCATTGCCTGCCTTGAGTAGGGGTTTCTCGGTTCGGCCACCACCAGCGACCTGGCCAATCATTGCACGGCAGTTGCTTGGGACGATCTTCTTGGCTCCTGATGGGAGCTTGATCCTGCAACCAAAGATCCAACACGAACAATCTCAGATCCACAGCCTCTGTGAACTCATGGATGACAAAGAGTACCTAGGCTGAATAACTGTATAAGAATTCCAATCTCAGCTCTCAGCCCTATAGCAATTTGTTGTATTGATTGTACTGATCAGTTCATGTGTATTTTGGCCAGAGAAAGAACTGATCTTAGAAAAGAACTATATTCTTCTGAGTTACATTAGTAAATGAATCAACTTGTCTGGTACAACATCAATGTCCAAAAAATTTCAATCCAATGTTACAAAACAGACAGACTTGAACAAGTATTTATCTTAAAACTATATTGTTTTTCTTGGATGTGTAAAAGAATGATCGAATTGCAAAAGATAAAAAGTATCTTTAGTTGGACTGTTAAAAGAAAGAGAGTCAATTTTCTCTGTGCTTCAGAAGTTGCAAGTTAATAAGCCACACTTAAAAATGCTGTACTTCGGGACTAACATGTGGAACAAAACTAGTGTCATTCAATAGAAGACAAACTACCTATCCTTTTTATTTCTTTTTGAAGCTCATCTACCTATCAAAAAGTGGGATTGTTCAGTGTATGTCAATACCATTTACTTAAAAAAAAAAGGAAAACTTAAATCTGCACAATTAAAATGCAATAATAATTGAAATATCAGACCGTCCCAGTGTCAAACATTTCTTTTGGTCGCTTGGAACTTTATGATAACATCCAACACTCAAAAGCTAGCAATATTTCCATCAACGGCAACAAATGCATGAATCAAGTAGTTTCTGCAACTAGTAGAAATTGACAAAATGCTAAAAGGTGCAAAGTTAACTAATCTCTAAACCAATATCAAAACAAAATATCCTTTAAAATGTGGATTATCATCATCCCCATGGGCAGAGCTCATGCACAAGTTATTCAGGTAATAATATTGACTCTTTGGTAAAAGGCCCTAAAATCTCATTTTTCCTCTGATAAATTTTCGTTATTACATTTCTTTCTCTATATATATATTGGTCCTAAGATTTCTTTGATAAATTTTCTTTATTACATTTCTTTCACTCTACACATCTTGGTCCTAACTTATACCCACACCTAACTCCTTCACTCCAATGTTAGAGCACACTTACAGTCTACAACTTTATTAAAGCAATTTATGGATGAGATTTGGCGCTGAACAGTGTCCCAGCAGCGTTGCTGGTGAAGTATTTCGTATCATACTTAGTCTGGTTTTTCAACCCCGGGGACCGGCTTGGAGCAATCAAGATAAAAAATAACCTTTGGAACTTCCCGCTCTTCAAAGCCCGCTACTTTCTCATTTAGGTCCACCACTACTACTCATATTGGCACCCTACCCTCTCGATACAAGTAGAGAAGCATTGACATGATTGTTATAGTAAAGAAGACCAATTACATTGCCATCAAAGTCATGCAACAAATAAAGATGACTATACCAAAAATCTGATTATCTTTGTTCCTATACAAAAATATGCAGAAAATAAAAATGAAAGACCATGTAAAAGATATTAACTGAAAGACTATCTATCAAAAAGATAGATTTGACAAGTCGAAAGCTAACATAACCAGTTCTTTCTCTTCACTTCATACATATCTTAATTGATATCAGAAGGCAATAATTCAACAGAGCAGATAAAATATCCAAATTTTTCTATAAAAATAAACACTTGAAAATATCTACTCATCCAACTTCAGAACCCAAAATCCAATTCCTATATAGTCCAAGTAGCAATGTGAAGAAAGCCACCAAATGGTATTTCACGCTGAAACTTTAGATAAATAAGCGACAAGCGTGCAAACACTATGGAATCGATCTTCATCTCTTGACTCGTCAGATATTAACAGAAACAAGTATAGATCATCATCAAATTGAAAAAAAAAGGATTCTTTTTTCGGGACTTCAGAGCCGAATGATACTTAAAAAAAGGACAATAGGAAGCAATAAGTGGACCTGCTGGTGCCGTTATCGGGGTTGTGGCTGATGACAATGGCGTAATCGCCGGAGGCGCGGGCGAGGACGCCGCGATCGCCAACGTGGTGCTCCACGTTGCAGACGACGGCACCCTCGGGAATGGAGCGGAGGGGGAGGACGTTGCCGACCATGAGGGAGGCCTTACGGCCGCAGTAGACGAACTGGCCAGTGTACATCCCCTCGGCGGCGATGAAGAGTTCCTTTTGGAGCTTATACCGGAAGGGGTGGCGGAAGGTGACGCGGGCGAGGGGGGCGCCACGACCAGGGTCGTGCAGGATCTCGGTGACCACGCCCTTGAGGTAGCCATTCCGCTCCCCGAAGTCGAGGCTCCGGAAACGGGCCGGCCCCTTGCGGTGGTGAGTGTGGGAGCGGAACACTGACCCCGCTCCCTTCCTCTGGGCACGGATCACGCGTCCCATCTCGGCAGCGGCTGCGGCAGCAAAGAGGTGGCGCTGGGCTTAGGGTTCGTCAGCGTAGGAGCCATTTATATTGGCGAGATCGGGACGGCGGGTTGTGCGGTTCTGATGATGCCGATGATGTTCTGTCCACCGTTAGATTTAGGGCCTCAATTGTTTTAATGGATCCGGACCCATTTATTTGGGCTACATCCGATAGTGATCAATGTTTTGCTGTCGCACTCGCAGTCGCAGTCGTAGTCGCTGAAGAGCTTCCGACCGATTCGTTGTCGCTAGGAGCATTTGGGCAACCCAAACCCTAAGCCTTCATCTCTCTCGCTCGAATCTGGTAATCCTTTCGGTTCTCATGGCGCTGCCCGGCCCATACTCAGGCGTCAGCACGCTTGCCTTCGTAGGTTTCTTTTTCCGTGTTTTACTGTTTTTTCTCTCTCTCTTACTATTTTCTCTGATCGTTTCTTTGAATTGGTCGGTGGCTCGCGCGTCGGCTGTCACCTTCGGCCTCGTCTACGGCAGCGTCAAGCTCTCCTACCTCCAGGTCCTTTCCCCTTTCCTCAGATCTTTTCCTGATGTTGTGTACTTACATCCTACTCTATTGTCGTGATTACATTAGGTGGTGATCGTCGATTGTTTGTGGTACCAGATCCTTGTGTTTCCATTAATTTCGTTGTTTCATATGGCTGATCTGATCATGTTATCTCTCAAGTTAGTCTACATGATTATGGGAATGGTGCATCTAAGGAAATGTTCTTGCCTTCATTTCGCAGTAGGAATTGTTGTTACAAGAATTTTGATTTATCTTGAATTTACTTTTCTTTGAGCGTTTTGCAAATGTAGGTCCTCATAAAGGGGCGTTTAAGCATGATATTTTTGACGTAAAGATGGCTTGCGTAGCTCACTAGGCTGGTCATTTGCTTACGTTAGTAGGAGTTAGGTAATTTCTCTTGACGCTGCTATTTATCATGTCATAGTCTGAGTTCTATTAGAATTAAATTAAAGAAAATTATGAATTTTCATAGGTAATTGAATTTTTTGAAGAATATTTGAAGTGTCATCTGCTGATGGAGACTACAAAAATGTTGATGTGATTGGAATAAGTGGCAATGACCAATGTTTATGTCTAACATGATCATCTTAGATGCCCAATGCTGTGAGTTTTGAGATATTATATGACTTGATTGATTGAAGCAGGCACTTGTAGTTGCCTATGGACATTTATTTTCTGATCAACATATCACATTCTCTATCAATACTAACTAGGCCTTTTTTTTCTTCCATCTGAGTTCATAGTAAGTCTCTTTTCTTAGGTCTTATCTTCTGGTGTTGGACCTTTGGGCGCCATGCAAGCTGCACCTAGTAGTGCTTATATGTCCCCTAGCAGCATGTTCTTAGGTCTTTTCCATCTGAGTTCATAGTAGTGCTTATATGTCCCCTAGCAGCATGTTCCTTGCTGTAGTTTATTTTAGAATTACCAAAATCATATAATAAACCTTTTGGACTTGTCAAGTAGTGATGGTTTCATTCCTGACATTTGGGCTTCCATAGTCTGAAGTAGATTTTAATTTTTAATCGAAAGTTATGAATTGCACTCTGTAAAGAGCTTGCAATGATGTAACCTCCAATAATGTTAATTCTTTGTGGGAGGCAAAATTAGAACTACTCTGTTGCTTCGTGGGAGGCAATGGTGTAAAGATGCTTTAGCTATATGATGAATACTTCTTATTCCAGTGAAACTGAACACACCTTGGTATTGAGGCAAAGAATATTCTGTTACTAATCTTGACCCCTTAGAGTTATAATTTTGGCAGTTTCAACGTGTCTTTGTTATGTTTCAATCATATCTGGTCAAGTTTAGTGGTTTGATTTTAGTAAAAGTTTTCATTTGAAAGATATTCTAATAAAAGGTCTACAAGAGCATGGCCAGTTTTGGTTGTTCCAGTCTACATATCAACAGTTTTGCTTGTAATTATATACTGGGCCCGAATCTGAAATGTGTAGGAATGTTTTGAAATAAGATCAACTAATCCTGGAGCTTCTTTTATTCAGTCATGCTGACCAAGAACAATAATTTGAGTTCTTGGCTCGTTTAATTGATTTCAGTGCATCTAATGTATTTTGGATATAGGGTTTAAATTAATTGCTTGGTAATTATGATCATGATAGGTGCCTTTGATTTTCTTTCCTCCTTTTGTTATATAGACTTCATTACTGGATGTTCTCAATGAGTAAGTTGGTTGGCTTGCTGGGAGATGTGATAAAATGTAACAAACTTTGGATCTTTAGTGCCGAATGTTCATATCTACTAATGTATTTCAATTTCTCTGTAGGCAAAAGCAAAGCGGCACAAGAAAGCAGAGGCAAAAGGTCACCACTAATAAGAAGGATGTGACCTGCTATGCTCCCATTCATATTCTGAATCTCAATTGTTGCAAACTTTTTGTTAGTATATTTCTCCCCTACATGTTGGTTCATGGTTTTCTTGTGCATGAGATCACAGTGTGCCCAAAAAAGGTGGTTTCTTTAGCATATTTTTTTTACTTCAATAATTGATTTTTAATTGTGACAGTCTGGATCATCCTTTATTTTACATTAAATCTGCATATATAATCTCTCTGTCACCAAAGGCTGGTGCTTCGACTTCATACATGTGTTGGATTACTCGCACTGTTGGTTGAGCACTCTGCTTCCATTATCAATATAATATTGAATTTTTTAGGGATAGAAGAGAGGACAACTCTTTCTTGTTTTCTTCTTCGCCACCTCTGCATAAGGATAAAAGAGAGGATATCTCTACTCTGTCCTCTTCTTCCTCACCTCTGGCAAGGGTCCATTGTTGTCATTGCATCTCTCATTTTTAACATCAGTAGAAGGAGATGATAAGAGAGGCTTTGTCCTCTTTTTCCATCTGAACATGGAGAAGGCCTGCAGCCCTCTCTGCTCTCCATCCTTAGTACTATCGAATTACAGTGCTCTCCATCGTTAGTTTGGAACGAAACATGCAAGGATGAAATTAATATAAACAGAAAAGTGTGTAGAGACTAGAGACTGAGTTAAATATACGGTTAAAGTACATGGATCATTAGAACTATTTCTCCTGCTAGTATCTGGCATTAGCTGAACCATAAAAACCAAAGCTGGAATTGGTTCTTGTCTCATCAGTGTAAACATTTGTCTGTCATACATTTATGACCATCTTAACTTGCTGGACATATAGTAACGTTCATTTCTGTTGTCTGTTTGCGGCAATTTGCTTCCAACCACATTACTATGTTTGTCTAGAATGAAGAGGGAGCACTAAGACGGCATTGCAGTTGAGGCATGATGTTTTTTTGAAGGGGATTGACTAATATTCTGTATCTGGTTGAATTATCATTTACTTTGCAAGAGTGTTTTATCCAGAAAGTATTTGGATGATGAGTTGATGATTAAGTTCCGTAACAAAGAAGAGCCTCCTCCATGAAGTTTATTAAACCGTGTGAAATGTAGTTGGTCTCTTATCTTGAGGTTTCAAGAATGTGTGTTTTGCCATAAGTTTAGGGAACAATAGTGCTAATTGGTTAGCATGTTTTGCTGGCCACTTGAGTTAGCTCTTTTTTTTTGCTTCAAGGAGCATGGTATAGTTTTTGCTAGATCTATTCAGTAATAATAGATTGCTTTCCTTTTTTTTAAAATAAGGGAGAGTTTTACAAGTTGAGAGGGGAAATGTTTATCTCGATGGTTTTATCAACACTAGGAAATCAGGACTGCAATCGATAATCAATCCTCATATATATCAGTTTAAGATAAATATGAAGAGATTTTATCCTAATAATCAAATCAGGCATTGGTTACTTTCAATGAAGAGATTTTATTTTGTTACTAATTTGATAATCGAAGGGTTTGTATCAAAAATCAAATTGACATCGATTTTCTTGCAAGTCAATACTAGATTGGATATTCAAGATTTTGGTCACACTTGTCAAACCAAGTCGGATTGATTTAGTTATCACCAATATCTTGATTACATGAGTCAAATTTATGAAATTAACCATGCTACAATTGTATAATATATAACTTCAAAATAAAGTGATGGTCGTTTCTTGGGTTAATTATAGATTATCTTTTGTAGTTAGTTATGTTTAGCATCTTGATCCATATACTTTAAAAAGTTACATTGGGATTTTTATACTTACTAACGTGAAACATTAAATCTCATTTCTCCTCACGTCATCGATTCTATTGCAGTTAGTTATGTTTAGCATATCGATTCTATTGTAGTTAGTGAAATATTAAACCTCGTTTCTCCTCACATTATTGATTCTATTGATGGAGGATATTGCACATGCTATCACGTGCAAGAAATGATGCTAAATAAGGGATAAAAGGATAATTTTGTAGTTGTTATTCTCATCGTCCAATGATAATAACTTTATATAAGAGTACCTTCTGTGAAGGCTTCTTTACCTTGCTCTGTCTCTCTTCCCTTTCACGCCTTTCCTCGACCCTCTCCAACATCGAGGTTGCCTTCATCGTGCACTATCATCTCCTGGCCCTCTTAAAGAAGGGAGACCTTGACAGCTTCGATTTTTGGTATCGAGATCGACGTCACCATCACCAATCCTCGCCTTCGTCGTTGTTATGTCGCTCTGAGGGCATGGAAGAAGGCATTGTACTCTGACCCCCACAACTTCATCGGCAATTAGGTCAACCTTGATGTGTGTGGTTATCATGACATCTTCTGTGTTGCGGTGCCTGATGACCCCTTGATCAACATTGTCATCAACGTCAACCTTAATGATGTCGATATCGTTGGGTACCTCCCCGTGGAGCTCGGCCTCTTGACCGACATCGCCCTCCTCCACATTAACTTCAATCGCTTCCGTGGTATCATCCCTCAAAACATCTCCCGTCTCAAACTCCACGGGCTTGACGCTAGCAACAATCGTTTCGTCGGCTTGATCTTGGATGTTGCCCTTCGGCTGCCATCGCTTAAGTACCTCGACCTTCGGTTTAATGACTTCAAGGGAGCATTGTCGTCGACGATCTTCGATAAGTAGCTCGACACCATATTCTTGAACGACAACTATTTCAGCTCTTAGATGCATGACAACTTCGGTAACTCCAAAGCCTCTGTCGTCGTCATTGCCATAAGATCTATGACTACGTTCCAAGCAGCATCAGTGAGATGGCAGCCATCCTCAACGAGCTTATTCTGTATGTGACAACGAGAATAGCGATATTGAAATTACCTTTTAATCTTTTTTTAGCGTTAGTTTCTATACGTGTCAGCGTGTGCGGTATCTTCCGTTGGTAGAGTCGACGATATGAGGAGAAACATGGTTAAATATTTCACTTGCATAAGTATAGAAATCCAACCATTTAAGGTGTAAGGATCGGGATGCTAAATATAATTAACTACAGGGGATAATATGTAATTAGTCCTCCTTTTTTCGTATACAAACATAGACACTACTAGTTAGGAGAAAATCGAAAGATCATGTTCTTCAATTGTTGTCTCATTGGTATCTGGGTGTTTCATTTAGCAAAGTGAGGGTGGATTTTTACTGCCTATATTTTACAAAGATTAGTTGCAGAGAGATACATTGATGGCTTCCACTATAGAATTCGGTTGATAGATAATAAAAAATATCATGGTTTTCTATCTTGAATATACAACCAGAGTGCATTACAAGAGGTTTCTGCATGAATTCATGTTACAAACAGTTCTATTATGTTAAAAGTTGCTTCAGGCTTCTCATGCAGGATTCAAACTCTAAAGTAATGACGATGTAGTTATCTCAGAAAGAAACATAATCTTGTTTGCTCGTACGATTAAACACTTGAGATGTTTCTCATAAGCTTTGTAGTTCTCAAGTTATATTTGGGAGATGGCATGGTACAAACAACTTGTGAGAAACATGAATATTATATTTTTTTTCTACCGAGAACATACAAATTCTTTAGAACTTTTTCGTTGAAGATACAACACAAAGCATACACTTAGAAGTTACAGGATTTCATTTGTTGATAGACACACATATTTTGTTTTCATATCTTCTTCCCATATGTGCTCAGTTTGTGCATTCCACACATCATCCAACACTAATCTAAATCTAGTGTCGATAGTCATCATCTTCACTTTCATGTTATAAATCAGCTTTAAGATAATAACTTTTCCAATACCTCCTATGCCAACTTGAACAAGATCGGAGCATCCTTCTGTTCTTGTACTTGCATAAGACCCTAAGATCATGAAGCTCTCATCATTCTGGTCTCTTCTGCTCGACATTCAGGCTTGTTAAATGTTGGAGCTGTTGTTCAAGACCTTCCTGCAACAGTAACATAAAGCATTCTTTTCCCTGCTTGAGTTCTATCAACCATATAGAAATAAAGGACCATAAACTAAGCATAAGAGGGCAAATGAGTACCTTTTTGCAATGTTGCTGCGACTATTCTCTTTCATTCTTCTTCACATCCAATGTTGGGTTTGGTTGGTGATGATTTATAGCCGTGTCTTCCTTCTTAATATCCAGAACGCTGTGGGCATCAGAATTGTCTGGGCAATGTCGACTCGGCCTTTATTTTCTCCAAATCTCTGGAACACTATGGGTAGCGGAATTGTTTGATAAGTTTAATGGCGTTAACGCGTGCATTGTGACTCAGCCTGCACTACGGGCAAAGAAACGACCAAAGAGAGAGAGAGGATAGATTCTCTTCCTGGTGCCCGGACAAACAAAGCAAAAGACAAGCTTAAGCTCGTGACGCGTTGCTTCAGGAAGACGCTTCAAGTAGATTCTTCCTTCAGCATGAAGAAACAAGGATTCCCTTTCAATGACAACTCAAAATAAGAACGAGTGAGTTCCTCTAAAAAAACCTCTAATCTACTATCTATGAATAAGAACGAGTGCCCTAATCTAAAAGTAAAAGGAACAGAAGAAAGTTATAAAAGTAATACTGAATAAAAAGCCGACACTACATTTTTTTAGGATAAATTGTCTAAAAAAAAAATCCTCTTTAGACTTTTTAAGAAATGTTTCATTTTTCTGAAAAAAAGTTTATTGTTGACAACCCCTTTTGCCATTGCTAATTTCCTTGCTATTGACAGTCTCCTTGAAAAATAATAAAATATAATTTTATTATTTTTCATCTTTCGATTATTAATCTTATTCTTTTGTTTTCATAATCCCTTAACATCACTCATCACTTGTCATTCTCGACACAGTTGGCCACTCACGATTAGAGAATTTATGTCTGTTTGTGTCTAATTACGTATGTTTGTGTCTTATGACATTGCTTGCGTTTAGGAGAAGAAGAAGAAAGGAAAAAGAGAAAGATGATGAGAGCATTTACGTCTATATGATATTATTAGGCATCGCCCATGATTAAAAGAGGAAGAATGAAAAAAAAAAGGGAGAGATGAGGGTATTTACATCCACTAGTAGAGGGGTATCTTGGAAATATTATAAGATCTTAAAATGAGATTGTAAGTAGCAAAAAGAGATGATCAATAGAATTCTCCTTTTCAAAGGAGATTATGATGCCTTGATGTCTACTAACGTTGCTTGCCATTAGGAGGAGGAGAAGAATAAGAAGAGGAATAAGGGAAAGATGAGGAGGGCATTTATGTCTATTAGTAGAGGGGTATCTTCGAAATATTAAAAGGTCTTAAACTGAGATCGTAAATAGCAAAATTGGGTTACCAATAGAATTTCCCTTTTCAAAAGAGATTTCCGTTTGCAACTCCTTTTTACTATTGACAATCTTATTTTAAAAAATTTTAATATTCTCAAAATATGTTTTTTGTAAATGGACGTAAATGCTTCACCTCCTTATTCTTCTTTCTCCTTTTGCTCTTTCTTCTCCCTAAGACAGCATCGATGGGGTGGTGAGCGAGGTCCAAAATAGGTTATTTACATCTAATCTCCTGTTCAGATTGAAGTGTTTTATTGAGAGGAAATCATACTATTTACTAGAACTGTTTTAGTTGGTTGTAATGGAGTCTTAGTTGCTATTCTACAAAGTAAGCCAACTCATGATATCTGTCTCCGGCAAAAGGTTATATGCATCAGATTTGTAGAGAAGCAAACTTAGTTGCAAGGCATATTATCGGTCTTGATATTGCATTCCCTCAATTATTCTATTTTTTCCTCCATCCTGTCTACTGTCCCCTCATAATTCCTCTACAAAAGTTTGCTGCTGTTCTAACACCACATTGCTAAAGCATAGGAGTTGCTAAAGAAGGGTAATTGCTTCTGAATCAGGTAATTAATTGAAACATATGACTTGATGCAAGTCATTCGTTGAGCGAGGTATGCATGCCACAAGGACAAGCACCAAATGCAATAATCGTCGACAAAGTAGATCTGAACCACAGCAATCAAATGAAAACTTAATGCGATAGAATGAATCACTTACCAAGTGCCCAGCCCCCGAATTCTTCTGCAGAGCTTTGAGATCATCTTGGAAATCCGAGGACGCCATCCGCTCTGCATCACAAGCACACAAGCAAAACAACAAATAACTTGTCAGCATGTCATTTGTTGGGCGTGGTATGCATACCACAAAGACAAGCACCAAATGCAATAATCACACAAATTAGACCTAGACCACGGCAATCAAATGAAACTTAATGCGATAGAATGAATCACTTCCTCGTCACTTACCGAGAGCGCAGGCCCCAAATTCTTCGGCAGAGCTTTTAGATCGCCTTGACGCCATCACAGATTTGTCCGCTCTGCATCACGAACACACAAGCAAAACAACAAATAACTTGTGAGCGTGAACCCACGGGGAGCCTCGTCTCGGCGGCGATCGCGACGGCGGTCATCAACCAAGAAAAGGAGAAAGCGCGAACGCATATGTGAACGATCCGACCGGTGAGGAGGGAAGGGACCAGAGAGCCACTGTTCTCGAGACTGGGATCGAGATCGAGACAGAGAGAACAGGGCTTATTTATAGTACCCGGAGGCGGTTTTATTTGGGCCAGCTTGAGTTGGGCCGATTTGGGCTGCGGTGGGACCGGCTTGGGTCCAATCTAACATGCAACAGAACAGACAAGTGGCTAGGAAATATTATGTGCAACCTTCTTGACAAGAGCATCCACTTTTGATTGCTTCCTCCACAACTCATTCCAAACTCTCTTCACATTCATCTCATTAATTAATTAGTATTTTATAGTTGATTTTTTTTTTTTCTGAGAACAAAAGAAGGGGAAAAGAAAAATCTTTGATCCTCCCACCAAATTTGCCTCTCGCTCACTCCATTAGGTGGTGCATCTCTTTCTCTCCCCACCATTGCATGTGATATGGTCCATCAGATCTCTCAAACTTGGATCATCTTCCACCCGGTAGAAGAGTCTTCTCCACCAGCTTATAGAATAACAGTGAAGTGGACGCGAAGTAACGAAGCACACTATCATTTCATTATCCCCTTAAGCAAATCCACCTCCCTTCCTTCTCCAACAACAGCCCCACTTCTCCCCCACCATCGCTCTACCATCGCAAACCTTCTACTGCATGTTAGCTTCGTCTATCTACTTATAAATCCATCGATACAAGCCGCTGCATGCGCTGCCACTGCTGGAGAAGCTTGAGAACATGGAGAGCGGAGAAGGTGGCAGAGTCGAGATCGACACGAGTGCGCCGTTTGGGTCCGTGAAGGAGGCCGTCATGCTCTTCGGAGAAAGGGTGTTGGCCGGCGAGGTCTACGCAAATCGGCTCAACGAGGTCTCATGCTCTTCTCTCGTTTCCCTTGTCAAAGCTTGCATCCTTGTAATGAAGGCTTCAAATAGCGTAAGCAGCTTCTTCCTTTGTCGATAGATTCGTGCCGCAGCAAACAGGAAGGAGAATGAACGCCCGAGTCTTGGATCCGTGATCGCTGAACTAGAAGATACGAAGCAGAACCTTGAGAAGGCGAAGGAGGAGAGATCGAAGATGGTGAGTTGCCTCACTTCCCTCGCGGAAGAGCTGGAGAGGACGAAGATGGAGCTGAAGCAGCTGAAAGCCGGAGAGCACGAGAGGAAGGTCAAAGACATAGAGATCGAGGACGTGAAGTTCGTGGAGAAGGCAGATCAGGTCGGGGTGGATACGCCGAGCGGCGGACGCGAGCTGGAGTTCCAAAAGCGACGGTACGTCACGTTCGCCAATCCTCCATCCCTGGCGCGCGTCCTGAGCGCGGAGGAGCAGGTGTTGGAGAGGCAGTTCTCGGTGGCGAAGGAGAACGCACCGGGGAAGAAGAAAAAGAAGTCATTCATGCCTTGGATCGCAGCGCTGTTCACAGGGAAGAAGGATCGTCGTCAAGGTAGTGCCGCGTTTGGTAGGACCGGGGGATTATAGAGTGTTCGATTGGGGTTTGTGCATGCATGTCTGCAGATGTGTCCAAATAACGATAGACTTACATTTTCCATTTTGATGAATGATAATTTTTCGTCGGAAGAAATATACACATTGGTTGATTCAAACACTCTCTTTTAGTGGCAGTAGATATGGTTTCTTGAAATCATCATGATCCCATTAATTACAAGTATTTGCCAAATTACGTCTATTGTAACATGTGTTGTCATAGGAAACTCTATGTGCAAAGATAAGAGCCACCGACACATGGTAATGATTCCCTCATGACCACCCTTGTAGATTCTTGACCAACCTGGAAGTGTCGGACTACACGAAAAGAATCAATTATTTGACTGCAAGTAGTGTTGTAAATGTTGACTAATATAAACATATTTCATGGGATTCTAAGGGAAGTAGTGTATATCACAGCACGCAAGCATTGTTTATTCAGATCCTACTCTATAAATAAAATTCCAAAACGAACAAATGCCCATCAAATGTAATAAGCACGCTAACATTGACACAAATCCTTCGATGTGCTAATTAATAGCGCAATATGGAAATCAATTAAAAGGCACAGTAAAGCAAACAAGCATTCGGCAGCAGTGCTACCTATAGAAGAAACCCACACAATCACAAACTCCAAATAGTTAATGAGTTTGATTCATGAGAAAGCAGATCGTCCATCGCTACATTTGTATCACACGTTCTTTCCCAGTTTGTTGATCCTCAAACTGTCATATTTGTGCTCCTCAGGACTCCTTTCCGCCTCTGGAGACGATCCTTTGCTTCATTATAATGTCACCAAGCATCTTCATTGCTGAAACAATCAAAGAACACAGTCTACTTGTCTGCTAACAGCAGTCTCACGATGTTTCCAAGTTATTTACAGCAGTCTCAACATCATTTCCCAATATGGATGAAAAATCAAGGAATAGTCTTAAGGGGCTGAAGGACCAGAAGTAGCAGCTCGCTTTCTCAGTCTGGAACGGGTCACACGGATAGCCTCTTCAATAGGTGTCTCTTGGACGGGACAATTAGGGTCATCCTCAGGTTTCTCCTTGTCCATGACATTGGCCGCTCCAACCTGCAATCCTTCCCTTTTGCTTGTTGGCGGCTGAAGGTCACTGGTTGCAGGATTGGGTTGAATGGGAAGGCCGGATGAAGATGGGAGCTGGGCAACAGACTGTGGTGGAGGAACACCTGCCTTTAAGGGTTTTTGAGGTTGCCTCCTTGTGGGACTGGAAGGTACAATTTTAGGTTGCCTAAGTTGCTCAGTGGGCTCACAAGAAGTTCCTGTTGATGTTGTTCGACCGATCTGTTGTGGTGCTTGCTGCTGCCATGCAACATGATTTACATCGGTATAAACAAAAGCATGGCTAGATGTTGTTGTTGCTAAACAAAGAAAAACTATGGACCCTCAGTTATCACTAGATGATACTTGTACCAAAATGAAATTTAAACCAAATGGGACTATTAACTACGTCCACTCAACAACATATTAGCTATTATAGCTGACTATTAGTCAAAGCTAGCTATTTCCATGTTTCATGATTATGCTGGCTCATGCATGTATTAGAAGCATCGAGACATGAGACCTGCTTTTGAACCTACCAATTTACCAACTCTCGACAAATAGAGTAGTTAATTAACCAAAAATGTGAACAAACTACTCAAAATCCTTATGATTGGCTCATCCATATCAATTTGGGCAGATGCTCTATGATTTTGAGCAGATGCAATGAGAATCAACTCTTGATTGTGATTGCTCACATTTATACAAAAAAATCAATCAATATACCTCTAGTTACCCCCCAGATGAAGATATTTATCAATGTTGGAATTATTAAAGTGGATGCTACAAAGATGAAGTGCTATGTCAATCAATATTTTGGATCTATTCCTTTGCGAATAAATACCAAGGAATTATTAAAGTAGATGTTAAGAATTCTTCAGAAGCTGAATGATTAAAAATACTTTATAGAGTCCAATCTTCCGGTCTTGCACATTTGGAGAAAGGTATTCACAGAAATATCTAATCGATACAAAAAAGAAAATTGTTGGAAACAAGATAATAAAAACTGCAGCAAGATACTATTATGCAGTCATACAAGATTAAAGATGAAATGCATGACTCCATAGTTACTAGGATGGAAATTGGACCACCACCTCTAGATACTTACATATCTTGATGTAAGATGGTTTGGACCAGCTAGATTTTCATTGATGGTCAACTACACTAGAGATTTTTGCATGCAAAGTCAATCAAGATAAAACTAAAACAAAACAATATGTTTTTTAAATTAAAATATTTGAAATTTTAAATCGAATTTCACATCAATAACATGTTTTCAGAAAAAACCTGTATAGAGCACATGAAATAATTTTACCAAGAAAAATTAAAAGAAATAATTTAAGAAAGCCACCATGAGACATGTAATACATTGACAGCAGTCAACAATTATGAAGCAGACAAAACATAGATAACGGTTGGACAAAAAAAGTGAGCAAATGAAAAGATCCATTATGTGATAGCAAGATCAGAAATATAAAATAAATTTAAGAGAAATAACTACCAAGGAGAACATTCAACCAGTCTCCCTTCAGGAGTGTCTCAGACATGACACTTCGATGTAGGAGAACCATGCACCATATCATTGGCTAACAATTCTTATTACTATGCCATTACTCAATCAACTATTATATCAAGAACTTATTTTTCTTTACATGCTTTATTCACACTATTAATAGAACTTTCCAACAATATAAAATATGAAAAACCATAAAATTCTACATGAAAATAGATCTAGATCACTCAAAACTTACTTTATAGTTAAGTTAGTAAATTTCACAATTCATCTATATTTTAAGCAACAATAAAACTCAAACTAGACTCTCATTTGGCCCTCTGAGATATAATTTTATAATCCAACTGTGGCACAACACTTGGCTTTTTAGTTCGTATTATAATAGGTTGGCAATCCATTAATTGATAATCTCTAGATCAGGATTCGAATGAGGGATTCCCATGAGCTAAAAAGATAGAATGGGAAAAGATAGTACCTGAGCAGGGCGAGTTCTTGATGATTGTGAGGGTGATTGAGAGGCAACATATTGCAGAATTTCAAAAATCCTTGTCTGGCCATAGCTTGCAACCTTCTGGAGATTGAGGACTACAATATCCCCAGCCCTGGTTCTCAGCTCAAGCAAGTTGCGATCTATGTCATTCTCATGCTTTGCGACATATGGTCGAAAGAAAGTTTCATAAACATATGCTGTTCCCTGAACATAAATGAATGTACCCCTAAATTATACTGTTCACTGGATAACACAATGAAATTACCAAAGTGGGTTATACCTTTGTTTTTGGGTACCAGAGATACACGAAGAATGCCAACTTTGCTTCGCCATACATAGGTAACCTTCAAGAAAAGAAATAAGATCCAACATTTGAAAGAAAAGTTACCCGACAAGAGCACAACCATGCATCAGAACCGTGTAGATCCACCATACCATGAAATAAAACTGTCTCCCACTCTCTCAAAGACAGTCAGGGCAGCAACTAAAATCCTAAGAATGTATCACAGAAAAGTTTTCTTTGAACTTGAAAACTCACAGAAGGTTAAAAGAGAAGCATAATGATTCAGCTGACAAGTGACAGGAGCATACCAGTACTGACACCAAAACAGCAACTGCTCAATGTCGGGCTTGTTCAACTCCACGGTTTTGAAGCATTCATAGGCCGGATAAGCATATCCAAGAATCAACCTGTAAACAAATGAGAAGTTGCATACTGCTTCACCCTTCACCCTAGCGCACAATTGGTTCTCAGGTCAACCTAATCACTACAAAATGGTGAGAACCCGGTGCAGATTCACTTACGCAAGGCTGCTGGTTATAAAACTCCCGATCATTTTGACTCCACTAACAACTATTCCCTCGCCCCCTTTGAGCAAATCCCAGCTATAAGATCAAGAAAAAGAAAGAAAGAAAACACAAGCTATTAGACCGAAAAAACAGTTCAAATACAAAGCTAGAAATCTTTAACCGACACGAAGAACGAAACATTCCCAAAATCGACCAGACGCGATGATGAGAAGTAGGGTTTTCAAACAAACGGATACAAGAAGGAAATCGAAGGCGAGAGAAGTGAATCCAGGAAGTATCCTGAGCGAATCATGATGATTGGGGACGGGAAAAAGCACAGATACCTTCGTAAGATCGCTCGAAAGCGAGAGAGTGTGACGTCGCGAATAGCCCCAGACCAGATGGAAGAACCGAATGGATGGATCGATCGAAGGGGAAGACTGCGAGCGACAGGGAGAGGACAGAGTTGAGATTATTTACTTCGTCTTCAGTCCTTTGCCCGCAAGTATTATTCCCAAATCACTTTCAAATGCTCGTCATTGAACTGATAGGCGGATATTAAACGATGGGAAGGACGGATTAAGTCCGCCCGATAGTGACAGGGGGCGGCCATACGACCGGTTCGGCTCGGACTTCCATCTGTTAAACCGGGTTGGATCGAACGCAGGCCGAGCTGAATCGGATTGAACATTATTAGGCGAAGAGAATGGCGATGAAAAATGGCCCTTTTTTTTGTTATTTATATAGGTTGTTATCCGTTAATTCTCTCTTTCTCTTACCTTCCCCAATTATTTTATGAAAAATAACTATATCTGATTTATTATTTTTTAAATATAATTCTTGGGACCCCTTTTGATTTTTCTTAAAAGCATCCCCTTTAGTTTTTATTTGACAATATATTTTAATTCAAAATTTCAAATCTACCACTCAAAAAAAGTTAAATATAATGTTGCCGCTCATTATAATGTTTTGATCTATTATAATATTTTTGATATATTATGATATTTTGATCATCATAACAAAAATACTATAAAAACTAATTAAAAATATTATAAATGAGTCAAATGAAATTAAGATATACTAACCCATTTGATATATTATACTATAATTTAAATAAAATTTTATAATAATTTATGAATAATATCACCCAAATAAGAATCATTTTTTTATAATAATAAAAAAATTATAGAAACATGATAAATAATCGGAGTGGACTCCTAACCTCAATCAAAATAAATACAAGCCTAAAAATATAATATCATAATAGTCTACAAGTAATAAAATCAAAGAGGAATAATACAATATTATTTATAATTTTATAATATTCTCAATACTTAGAAAAAATTATTATAAATGTTATTGAAAAATACTGAACCAAATGAAAATACTATAAAGATTCAAAATTGGTGAAAAAGAACAAAAAAAATTTGATAAACGAAGTTGGTGAAAGTTTATTTAGGTATTTTCGAATTAGAAATACTTTTTGAAAAAAAAAATCTTTTGGATATTTGGGCCCCATTGCGTTGACTCTGCAATCCGTTTAAGATGGTCCGTCTGATGTACGAGTTGATCTCACATCAAGAGATCTTAATCTGTTGACCGTCTGATGAACTCTATTTATATCCAATACCACCCAATTCGATGCAACTTTGGGTGGGAGTCAACAGAGTCATTGTCAAGAACATCATTCACCCAAATGCATAAAGAATCCAAAAGATCCACAAACGAGAAAGAAAAGCATTGAATATATAGAAAATAAATGATTTACCTTTTTGTTTCTACCGCCTCTTCTTCTCAGAGACCTCGAAATCGTTAACCTTGGCATCATCATCAACATCTCTGCCCATGAAAAGAAATCAAAAATCAAAACCCCAAAGGGAGATGAGCAGAAAGAGCAATCCTTTACAAGTCGTTAATCTTTAGCTTCCTGATCAAAACCCTAAGAGGGAACACATTAGAAACGAGAGAAGAATTCGCGATCTCTATCCAAGTAAAACCAGAGAAGAAATCGAGATCGAAATCCAGAGTTCACCTTATAGCATCACTTAGGAGGAGGCAGCGCCGCCACCATCGGCCATCCGCTGCGAGGCTCGACGGATCGGATAAAAGAAGGAGACGAATCGGAGGTGAGTTCGAGTCCGACGGAGGTTGAAGGTGGACGGTCAGACGGGGAAGTCTACGCTTTGAAATCCGTGGCTTTTATTTTTTTGGGATCGTGTGGAAGAGTCTACGCTTTGAGATCCGTGTTTTCTTCTTTTAGTTTCTCGGATTGTGAGAAGTAGCGGACACGTGTAGTTGAGGATCTGTCCTCACGGCGCTTTATCGTCTGCCAAAGCTATCAAGTAAACCCTCCAAAGCCGTCCATTTCATCTCCCCTATCATCTCGACCGTCCATCTGATTTGAATCGAATGAACTATCATAAGATTTATTTGATCAAATCAGACAGACGGTTCAGATGATACAATCCGATGAGAGAATGAACGGTCTCGATGAGATATTTTCTAACTTTTCTATGCAAGTATTCCGCATAGAAGTGTCAATCGTGAAGCCCGCAGTATTAATTTCCACTCCGCGTGGAGAGTATTTGACGGTGACGTCGACGGCCCCTCGGAGGTCTCCACTTCCCCCCTCGTTTTCGTCCTCGTCTTCCGATGGCTTCTCCTCCCCCTCTTCCACCGACTTCCCACCCCTCGCTGCTGCCCGAGATCGGCCCCGATGGCATCGCCAGAGAGTCCCCCATCATCGCTTACACCGAGAAGGTCCCTATTCTTTTCAGATCTGTCTCTCGCTCTCTACATCGCTTCCGTAACTTTCCCTGTTCGCGCAATTTCTAACGAGAAAGGTTCTTGAATTTCTCAGATCATCGAGGCAGAGCAGCTCCAGCTCAAGAGGTACCCGAATGGAAAAACCCGTATCTCGTTTTTTCCCGGCTTCCGTAACTTTCCCTGTTCTTTTTATTGATTGGTAAATTGTGGACGCCTTTGATGTGTTTGTACGGAAAAGAATGCGAGAATGTCAAATCATCGAGGTGGGTTGAATACTCTGTGGGTCATTAGGAGTTGCCACCAGATGCGCTTTTGAATTTGGGGAAATAAAGGATATTTCCAATGTTTGTTCGTAAAGAGATCCCACAAGACGTCCGTGAAAAGTTCTTCTTTCTTCTTATGTGATGCATCGTGTTTAGCTTACGGCATTAGTGTTCATATGAATGTACAGCTTATTTTCTTGAGAAACCACCATGTCACAAGCCTGTGACTGAAGATCCATTGGGGCAATAATGATCTATTGGAGAAACGCAAAGAAACTAGAGTTTGATTTCGTGCAAATTTGATATTATGAGATTTTCCACGTTATGTTTTGAGGAGAACAATTACAATGTAAAGCTGGTTTGTAAAGATTTGAGATATTAGAACATGTGAATAAACACTAGCTAGTCTAGCAAGATCTTCTTGACTTGCCTAAAATATTAAGGTGGTTCGGTTTAGAGAAATTTCTCATCAGAGATTGCTTCTCTGAAAACATGAGGATTTTATTATACTTCACTCTATACGCTTGGATCATACAATGTATAATCATTTTCTGTCATGTTCTTTAGGACCATTAATGATCATGCATTTGTAGGATATACATTCTCCATAGGTTTTTAGATACCTCCTGGATTGAATTGCACCGTGGTAACTTTTGGTTGGTGACATTTTCATGGTTTCATTGCATCAATTGTTGTCCCTTTAATATCAGCACACAGGTTGTTCCTGTGGTTTGCAAATAAAACTTCTTGTGTGGCAGATCTAGATATCATGGCTTATACGATGATAGCCTGAGTCAACCTCAAATAGGGTCAGATCTGTAGGCCCTGTGTGGTCTATAATGTACAATTTCAGTCATGGGAAGGATAATATCCCGTATACAAAGATAGTATAATATGAGAGAGTTCAAAAGTTCATCTGGACACTTAATTGCCACCTCAGTCCAATCACAAACTAGTGAATTATACATTGTGGATAGTTGGAGCATCATATTGACTTTTTCCCCAACTGTTATAGTGATTACTCATGCCATTGACCATCATTTTTTTTACGTGCAACTATATGAAGGGCACAAACTAAACCCCTCTTTCAACAATAACTGGTTAAATCTGATGCATCAACTATCTTGTTTTACACAATGTATGTCTACTGCTGTTTAATAACCATAAATAAATAAACATGATCATCATTGACGTTTCTAAATTTGTTAGAGCATCTCCTGCTTTTTTCACCAGGTGAATCGAAACTACTCTTCTGACTATATGCTTATTAGATATGTATAAATATGTTTTTTGGTATAACAGTGCACATCATGCCCAAGAAAAAAAAACACAGTAGTCCCACCTATTAAGTATTCCTAGTATATTATGATAGCTGTGTCTTCTACTCACTTTTTTGTTTTTAATATCAAGGGCCACATTTTTTTTTCTTAATTTAGTATTCTCTTTATGAGCTCTTCACCAAAGTATTTACCATATGTCTTAGATATATTCAAGAAAATTATTCTAAGATTCGTGAAGTGGAACGTGAGCTAGAGTCTCTTACATTGGAGTTGAAGCTTACAGCTGGGCCAAAAAAAGCAGGTTTTTGCACTTCTAAATTACCTTGGACATTTTTACTTAATTCCTGAAGTGTACCACCTAAATTAGCTCTTTCTCTTTTGTGTTTCTTATCGTGTGCCTAAAGCGCTTGAACACCTGCGAAAGAAGATTGAATTGTCAACTGAGAGGATACATATGGCTAAGCTCAAGGAAGAACAAACTAAAAAGGTTAGTTTCATGTGCTATTTTTTTGCATAGTTTATGTTTCTTGTCATTACACGATAATATGTTTCCTTGAGGAGACTGCATCAACTAATGAAATTCCACACAAGCCAAAATGGACTTAAATCATGCAATACAATTAGTCGGTTAGCGCAAAATCACTTTTAAAATAAGAGATGAAACAAATGTTTCGTATGCTTTCTTTCTGGTCATCAAGTTATCTTGAAGGATAAACTAATTTGTCACCTTAGGCATGGGAAGCTGCAGTTCAAGCTGTCAAAGATGAGGAGGATATCAAGCAGCAGCTTTGTGATGATCTGAATCAGCTGGTATTTGTTTATTGTTTTCTTTATTGCTAGTTTAGACTTGACATAATTGATGGAACTGCACTATAGAATTTCATCTTGATGCTCAATGGATAGGTTCAAGAAAGCACAAGTACCCAATATTTAAGGTTGGAGGAGCTAAAAAGACGACTAGAAGCTCTCAACCCTAGCAGGATTTCCTCTGATGTTTCAGTAAGGACCTATTCCCCACTCTGCCAGCTCTATTTATTAAGAATGTTGGCTGCTCTCAGATTCCACTGTCAGAATGGCAAGCTGATATTATCCAAAGTTGGGTTTTCTCGTTAGGGCAGTCTTGTACAGTTTTAGTTAAGATGACAAACATATGTATATATATATATATATATATATATATATATATATATATATATACATATGTTTGTCATCTTAATTAAAACTGTACAAGACTCTTCTTGATTGCTTAGGAATATACAATATTTTGGCTGGATCATGCTCACCAGTGTTGTAAAATTTCAGAATTTGATCTGGGAAATTGAATAGCCTGTCTCTTGCTGCAACAAAGAAAGCTGCACCAATGCAAATTACTTGCTTAAACCGTTTGAGGTGCATGCAAATTGAATTCTCTATGATGTCATGTCAGGATGGGAAGTTGATGCAGCAGATACCAAGCAATGTTATAGCTGCCACAATCACACAGAATCAACCAGTAGAGCGAAGAATTCCTGATGCAACTGCTCCTGCAACCAATAAAACCGAGCCAGCTTCAGATGCACGGAACCAACGGCCCGTGGAAGTGAAAGAAAAGAAGAGAACCATGAATTCTGGAAGAGCAAAGGGCAGCATGCTCATGCCAAAGGGAAGGGGACCTTCAGGGTCTGGCTGGACCGGTGCTGGATTTGATGTTGATAGTGGGACATGATGGAGGATTGGTTTCAGGCTCTCTCCATGGCCACTTGAGATTGTGGCTGCATGGTAGGACTTGGAAATTTAATTGAGGTACTGTTCAATCCTCGCTGTTTCTTCAAGGTTCAGTACATGACGTTTTTTTTCCTCTCTCTAAGTCTCTTTTGGTCAATTGGTTGTTCAAAGAAGAATATTTGCTACACATTTGATATCTTGATAGTCCCACTTTAACGAGAAAGCAAGAGTTGGCTTAATGTATAAGACTTGAACGGCCTACGATTAATGATTTGAGTTTAAGCATTCTGCACTTTTTTGGCGAGGTATAGCAGTAGACTGCTTGTACAATTAATGAAGTGTGCAGGTTTTTTGGATTAATACAACGGGTAACACAGCAGTTTCTTTGCAGGCTCCTTACGCGGAACAAGGCACGGAAAGATTTGACTCTCCATGTAAGCATTAAGATCCCTGTTTTTTACCAAAATATTTTTGTGCAACATTAGGAGGATTTTGAGTTGCTTTACTTCTTTCAAGGGGAGACCCCAGTTTTATGTGGAACATTGCAATATATTCGTCTCCATCTTATTAGTAAATCATAACTGTCATGTTAGTACATTTCCATTTTATTTAGGATCAAAACCATATTCGATAGTTTTCTGAAATTTTCAGGTTAATGAATTTAAATACCAGATGTGTTTAATTTCTTGGTGAAGTAGATTATTTAGCAGTGGTTTTTTTTGTGTCGTTTTGGGAAGATTATTTAGTTTTGTATCAAAAATATTGTGGGCATATAATTTATGGAGATCCATAAGATTGTCTGCATGTTTCTCACCCCAAGCAAATCACAGGTTCCATTTCCAGCATTATTTGTAGTGGTTACTTAGCACTTGGAAATAAAGATTATGACTTGGATTTTATTGGTTACTGTTGTTTTGATCTTAGACTTTTAGATAATAAAATGCCATATCTGTTAAATTTGGGGATTTAGATGCATATACTGAGACAAAACACATGAATTGAACTTAAATGGAAAAGCAATAACTAAAATTTGTATATGAGCTCAATTTCGAACAAGTAATTAACACCGCCCACCAAATAAGGAACTTGAAATCTTGAAGGGGAGAAATAATATCTGATCTCAATCACAAGAAGACAAAGAAGAGAAACAAGCATTCATCCTATTATGCCATAACGGACCAGCAGAAGACGAACAAGCTTATAAAGGTTGACATGCCAATCCAATTTGCCCTGTGGCCATCTCCACCATTCTTATTTCCTTTAGCACCCGCAATAACATGAACAACAAACAAACAAACAATGTGAGTGAGTATCAAGTTATTATAATGATATAATTGATGGTCTCATATTTGAGTCTTTAATCAATCAGGTTAAAGTTTTACCTGGAGGAGGAGGAGGCGTGGCAGATGGTGACGAAGCTGCAAAATTGTATCGATGACAAAAGGAAACATCAAAGAGTCAGTCAATCTACAGACACGAGACAATTCCAGCCAATACAACTCATATATGATGAGTTAATTTTATAACGTAGTGAAATCATCAACTTAAAGATGTTTTTAATTTCTGGAACTAAAATTTATTTTTATATCGTTATAGCATACTCGTTGCTATAAATTTTATTACATATAACTATGATTAATATTCATAAAAAAAATCAAAATAATCCACTTGTAAGGGTGTTTATATTTCAAAAAAGATGTTTAAATATTAAAAAAGACCATGAAATTTTTAGCATCACTTGAATAGTAACTAACGATGTAAACTAAAATTGTTGATGATAGTTAAATTACAAAAGCCAACAAAGATTAATTAGAATAATACATGAGCAAGTTTTTAAGCATTTAAAGTGTATATTGTATATATAAAGCAGTAAAGAAGAAGATTGCTGAGTTTAGAGGGGATGGATGATACGGAGGAGGATCGATGGATGCTTACCATTGGAGCAATCGCTTAAGTTGGAGATGCCGCAGGACCGGGCGAGGCGAAACCCCTCATCGGTGGAGATGTTGAAAGCCTTCATGACGGTGGCGTCGTTGAGCACGGCGCAGAGGCACTGCAGGTCGTTATCCACCGCCTGCTTCAGCGGCGTGCAGCACTCCGCCGGCGGGGTGCTCGTCGAGTGCACGTAGCTCGAGCAGGGGACCAGGTTCGACGCGCAGGACGGAGTCGACGACTGCCCCTCCGCCCCGCCGCTCATCACCGTCAACACCACGATAACCACCGCCACCACCGTATTCATCGTCATCATCATCATCTTACCCATCTCCATCTCTCTCTCTCTCTCTCTCTCTCTCTCTCTCTAGATATTAATAGTGAAACTTGCGGAGGCAAAGATGAAGAGAGAGAGAGAGAGAGAGAGACCGGAGGAAGCTGCTCAAGGACGCCATTGATGATGTAATGTGATGGGTTGACCGGAGGTGTCGAATATGTGGTCAAAGAGCTCTTCCAGTCGGCTACGCAATTCACACCACAAAAATGAAGTCCCAACCGCATTCCTACCACCGATCATGATAAGTTGGCACCAAAGATCATCGCCTCATCTCTCAGTGGGAAACAGTTCTTTCCCATATCTCACCAATGGAATCATATTTTCCAGCATGACTGCTGACCAAACCAACACAAGAAATTAAGATGGATTCACACGGATCTTAAGTTTATGGGCATGAAATATGTTCCTCTGATGACACACAAGGAAGGATTCAAACTTTGGCCAGATGTCATACACAATGGACGATAGGGTTTTGATCATTACTAGTGCTGACAAAGTCAGCAAGATGACTGAGAGAAAACAAAAGAAAAGTCTGATGTAAGTCTGCTACGTACAGTCTCACAAAGCTTGAAAGTTGTAATGATCATTTGATTACTGTTTTGTCCAGACGAGAGCCCTTTGGTCATCTCTGCGGAATAATTTTATCTGCATGTATGTTTGGTCTTACACTCCCACCCGCTGCGGATTGAGCTTTCGTAAAGAACACGGCAAGGTGGGTCGTAGTCCGATCATGACTGACTCTTTCTCTTTTGCTCGCATCCGAATGCTTTGGACTTGGTAAACGAAACATGAATCGATAACATAATCTCTTAAAAGATTGGCAAAGCATGCTTCGATGAGGATGACATCAACAATATTCTACACCATCCACCGTGTACGAATCACGCCATGGAATTCTTGAATCATTCAATTCAAACCCATTAAGGTTCGTCCACACGGCAATGGACTTAAACTTATTTTGTTTAATTTGTGTAGTACCTTTGTAATTTTTTTTTCAACCAGCATAGATACACTTTGGAAGTCTGGTTTAAAATCACACAAGTTCAGTTAGATGAACTATCTAATTCGAGATCTTACGAGTAGTTATTTCAATAAATATTTAATAGATAATATAAATTATAAGTATAAACTTTATAAGCTCTAAACGTTTATACGATAAATGATTCAAAGTAATCCACTATGATAAAAGTCCCCACAAATGATACTACTATACTAAAAGATAATGAATTACCCCTAAAAACTATCCCAAAGGCTTATCCAATAATATCCCCACTTCAATAGCCCTAGAGTAATATGTTGATGATATTTTACACCACTCTTGATGACTTATTTTTCGATAGTTATATCACTATGCGATGATTGCACATAACTTATATTTGTAAGACGAACACGATTATAAGAGTCAACTAAAATGAGGATATTAAGCCTACTATAAGCTCTTTACATGCTATGTAAGACATAAAATATATATATATATATATATATATATATATATATATATATATATATATATATATATATATATATATTATCAAACATCCTCATCGAAGCCTTTGCGAATATTGCATATGCTAATCTTTATTGAATTTTTAATCTTTTATTGCAATTGTAATGCACCTCTTAGCTCCCAGTCACTCTTTGTCGTTGTTATTGAGTATTCAAACTTTAATCTGCTAGTGCTACTTCAACTTGCCAATTTGATTGGTCGAGTTGTTTTGATCTCTGCTAGTTCCTGTAGATCCCTTAGATGAAGGGACAAATCTTTTTCATTGTACAGTAGTCTCTCAAACATCTCACGCCACTTGAACTGGGTGGATGCCTATTGAAGTTACCCTTTGATTGAGTTACCTATTAGAGTTATCTTCTACGCAGTTATCACCTCCAAGTATGTTCTCATTACTTCTTTTTTCATTTGGCATTTCATTAAAAAATTAAGTAAACAATTTACTATTAGTAGAATCGATCGTCATTAGTAAAAATTTGATAATTGTTATCTTTTACTAAGTTTCTTTGAATAGTCTATTGGATAAATAAGAGAACCATGGTACTTGATTTCACTCATTCTCTTAAAAGCTGAGAAGGATCTGCTCACCTCCTCGAGAGTTGTACTTCATACATTAAGCTGTTACTAGTTTTCACCTACTATTTGCTCACACTTCTGTGTTGAATCTCGAATTTGATGATTAAATCAATTGATGAATTTATGATCTAATCCATGTGTTGAGAAAAGTGATGCAAGACTAACTTCAAAAGGCAAAACAATTAAAGTTAAAAGAATCAAACGTTGGCCTAGAGTCAGAAATCAAGCATCGGACCGAAAGAATCAAATGTTGCACCAAGATCGGATGTTGCGGGAGTCAACATGCTAATGGATTGGGCGATATGTTGAAGGTTCGAAGGATGCATCGGAAGTTCATCGAGAGTTTGGATAAATAAATAACAAGCTGGACAACTTAGATTTACTGTCTTGTAATTGTTTAATCTTTATTGTCAAAGTTATGTCTTACTTTGAGTTAGATTTGGGTGTACCATATTATTTGATTAGGAGCCAATTGAATTTGAATCAGGGTTGAATTGGGCCTGCTGTTTGGCTCATTCAATGACCTATAGCAGGGTCTAGCGATGGAACCGCTGGAAGCTTAGTCTCCTAGGTATTATCTGGACGGTATTATTGCATGATAACCCTGCACTAGTGGTACTACACCCAATCTGAACAGTACGATTGTCTAACACAACCTAAAGGCTGTGTTAGACAATCGTATATGATACTATTATGAAAAAAAGATAACGAACTAGTCTTACACATTATCCTAAAGGCTCATTCAATCGGGTAGCTCTAATATAAGTTTCAATCGATTTTGATTAGGAATCGAAAGGACTTCGTTCCGATATACTCCTGAGCTAGTTTTACATAATCCGGACTAGATACTTTGGGTCGAGCCGTCTCAGGTCGACCGGGTTCAAAAACACGATCATACAATGTGAAGGAAGCTAACTAGAAAATCTCGGTTGGGTTCAAATCGATGTGATCTCAATTGAACCGGGTTGGAACCATTCCTGCTGCCCTTCGTGACCATAAGACCATCTTAAACAAAACAAAACCGAGTGCTTTTGTTTTCTTGTTTTCAAAAACACGGAAGCAAGAACGATGTTGGTGATCCGGAGCCGCTCGGTCACTTATGATGGATAGCGCTGGCTCCATCTACCCAGCTGAGGCAGGCACTCGAAGCTCGTCATGGCTGCCATGATCGTCCCTTCCGCCGCTGCAGTCGTGGTGAAGACCTTCACGCTCAGGAGGCGGCAGAATAGGAGAATTCTATGCGTCGGCTGGGCAAGTCACCTCCCTCTTTCTTCTTCTTTTTTGGGGGGGAGGGTAATTTATGGGTCCTTTCATCCGTTTTGCAGGACCCTGAAGGTATACTCGGGCCGCCCCAGCGTGGCCACATCGCGCGGCTCGATCTGAAGCGGCAGCTGGAGAAGGACGCGGTCGCCCGGGAGACCTTCGACCGCCAGCTGCGAGAGGAGCGGGAGCAGCGCCGCAAACGTCGAGAGGTCTCGGACGCATTTCCTCATCCGTCTCATGTGCTTTTTTCAGCTGCTTCGGTTGAGCTTTCGCTCATCATTCTTTGTTCTCTGCTGTGCTTGTCGCTAGGCTCGTGTGGTGCCGGAGACGACCGAGGGACTGATAGAGTACTTTCTTGACAGTGAAGCGCGGGACATCGAGGTGGAGATCGGGAGGTTGCGGCCCCGGTGAGCTGCTGACTGCTGTCCTTTTTGATCTATGACCATTTAATGCAGTGAACAGAATTAGCCAAGTCTCTGCCATTTCATGTTGGCTATCAGATGGCTAATGCAGCTCTCCTTTCTCTTTTTCCTCGATTTTGATATCTGAAAGGAAAATGATTCAGTAAAAGCATGAATAGATTAGATGGAGTTACCAAGTTTGAAGTGGACAAAGATGAATATAGCATTTAACTAGTTGGTTTTGAGATGAGAATTGAAATATATAACTCCGAGAAAACAAATTTGGGACTACTTTTCTAGATTTCTTGCTTTTGTTGCTTAGTATCTCAGGACAATGACTAATTAACTCAGATTTAGTTTAAGGATTCTTGTAGCTTCAGCCATGTGTTTGTTGATTTGATGCAAAGAACTAAATCTGGTTTAGTGTATATATTGAACTCGATCATCACTTGCTTAGGGCTGAAATGAGGATCAACTTGTCTAGACATAGCAATCTGGAAAGTACATTAGACATCTTTTCATTTGGTTTTTCACTAATATTTTAGTTCATTTAGATTATGCATGCATTTTCCCATGTTATTGTGTTGACTACGATGCATTAAAAAATATCATCTTGAGAGTTTCAAAAGGAAGGTGAGTAAATTTTTTTTTTATAAAGGAAACCAGGTCGGATAAAAGTTATTTGCTGGTTTCTAGGTCTTTAAAATTCCAACATTCTAACTCAGCTTCAATGCTTTTATTCTGCATCAGTAGCTTGAAACAAAATCTTAGACAATTAATGAAATTGAGAAAAATAAGTCTCGTTCGAGACTTTTATTTTCTCTCACTGCTTCTACATTCAGTGTTATATGGAGGAGCTGCTCTTGCCCGATACAATAATTGGCTAAAGCACTGACCCAAAATTCTCGAGTCTAGAATTACCCACTTTTTGTTGGACTAAACTGGAGTATTAAAATGAGGATTCTAACTCACGACATTGTGGGATGACATGACCGATCAAGGCACCAGGTTAACAGGTTGAGGCCTGGTTGGTGAAAGAAAATTGCTCGAATGCAATTCTTTTATGAATGCCATTGCATCTAAAGGTTAGACCTGTAGACGAGACAAGATGCATAATTTTATATTTTCAACATGAACTGGCCCAATTTGCTTTGTTGTATTGGTTCCTAGCTGGAACAGAATTCCCTGTGGAAGATCAATTGACATGTTCTTCGAACATTTATACATTCTTATACCTTGATTCATTTGGCACAGTATGAAATTAATAACATCAATTTCAAAAGATGAAAGAATCTTGTTTTTATTTCAGATTAACCACATACAATGCAAATAATAAGAATCTTATCATAGTTATGCAGCTACTTTTACCATGACTCAGTGGATAATGCGAGTACCGTACATGATGTGTAGGTTAAACAAAGAGTTTTTCGATCACCTACGAGTTGAGCTTGGACAACTCCGTTTTGCAGTCAATAGAACTACGGTATTACTAGATGAGCGACTTTTTGTCCGTGCAAAAAACAATCAAAGTGCAGTTTGAGTTACATTATTATTTGTGCGCAGGAGATGGAGGACAGGTTGATTGAGCTGGAAGCAATGCAGAAGGTCTTGCAAGAGGGCACAGGTTCTTTTACTTTTTGGCATTCCGGAGCGCAACTTGCATATGGCATCAAATTTCTCTGTTTCCAAATTGATATTGTCTTCCTGTATCTTGTTGCCTCAGAAGCATATGATAAGATGCAAACTGATATCGTATCAGCCAAAGAAAGGCTTATGAAAATACTGCAGTCTAAAGACAGGAAATCAACTGTAAGATCAGCATGTCGGATCCACACACACTGATAATTATTTTGATACTGCAATCACCAAGTTTGATGGTGTGGTTTTTCCTTGTGAGCAGTTGCTCGAGATGGTTGAGAGGAATGAGCTGAGCAGATCTATTTTAGCGCTGCTTGACGAGAACATAGCGAGCGCGATAAGTAACAATCAGGTTGCTCATATGCCACTCTCTTTGCTGCCTTTCACAATTGGCTTCTTCTTCACTTACACAGTTGATGGTTCACTTTGCAGAAAGAAGCTGCAGCTTTTATGGAGGATGTGCGTTCAACTATTCTGAAGTATATGACAGTATGATATATGCAAAATGCTCCATTGTTCCTGCAAATTTTATGTATGTTATGTCGTCAGATGTTTGTGTAGCAAGTTGATGGCGAAGCATGAAGATTCTCTCAAAATTACCTTTAGCTGACTATTTTTGTTGTTGATTGTTATTTGTGTTTAATGTGATTCAGAATAGTCTACCAATGCAGTTTCAGTTTCTGACGAAGGCAAACATAAATAGTCTTACCATAAAAAATGCTTAATCTAAATCTTTAAATATATATATTTTCCATTAATGATGATGAATGTATCTATCAAAATGTGTCTTTTACATGAAAAAAGGGAAGGTTTAGGAAAATTTATCTTGCATATTTTTCCTATTCATATTCACCTTTGGATTAACCTTAGTTAAGGTAACCATGATATTAATATTTAGGTTCAGAGGTTTCTGGAAGTCATATGAACCTTTTGAGGGGTATTATCGTCATTTTGTATCTGACAAGGGATACGTAGGTAAATAAAGCTGTTCTTCTTGGCGAGTTGGGCTTTGATCTGTAAAACGCTTCTCCACGAAGCAATCCGCGGGGGGATTTCACGTGTGACCGAGCCTGGATTCGGGAATTCGAGACCATAGGTTGGCCGACGCGTGTCTACGTTGGAACAAAGTGGGCTGGACCCCACCCTATTGTGCGTTGAATCGGTTGACGAAGCTCGGAACCGTGTCTGGGATCACACTGCGAGACGCACCCATCAAGCCCCACCGAAACGGAAAGCGGTCCCGCAGCCGCAAACACGTGTCAGGCTCCAAGCGTCTGCAGACGGTGTACCGCGATGCACCGGACACGTGTCCGTCGAGGGGAATAGTTTCGTCATTTCGCCTATGGACTCCACCCTCAAAAGTCGCGTCTGCTGCTCCGCCGAACCACTGTTGGAGCTCAACTCCAGGCCTGTTATCCCACTAATGCCATCTGCTAACGCCTCGCCACGTAGTGGATTGATCTAACCCGCGGCGCATCCGATCAATGCTCCTAGAAAAATCCCCCGCCGTTTAAAATCCCGCGAGGGGCGGAATAAAATCCCCAAAATTTTGACGTTCGATCTTCATCAGACGGTTCCCGTGAATCGGCGGTGCCCATTAAAAGAGAGGCCCGAAACCAAACCCTAGCTCGGTGTCTCTCTCTCTCCCCACCCACCGCCGACGACGTGACGCGCTTCAACTACCGTTACTTTGCCCCTTCTTTAGATCGTGATCTTGCGAGGGAAGGCGAAGAGGAAGAGAAGGAATCTGAATCGGCGTCGAAGTATTTAAATCTTGAACTCAATTTAAAGAGCGGGGAAGGGATCGAAACGATCGGATCGGAATTTGGCCATGCGTGGGTGTTAGGAATCGACGATGAGGGGGTTCTTTGGGGGAGGAGAATATGGTTGTGACGCGGCGGCACGCAAGGCCGGAAAGCAATAACGCGGCGCGGCTGAAGCTGTACAGGGCGGCGGAGGCGGAGATAGGGTCGCGGGTGTTCCCCCTGCCGGCGCCGCCTCCGGCGCCCATGCCCTCGGTGGGGGCCCGGCGATCAACGAGGGTGTACGTCGCCAAGGCATCTTCCGCATCCGCGGCCGCCAATGCCTGCGGCGACGGCGACTCCAGGGTTCTCCGTTCCGGGAAGCGGTCCGCTTCATGGAAGAACAGGGATGAGTGGTTGGGGGCCTTTGGCGGCGATGCGACGGCGGATCTCCGATGGTGGCAAGGGGAGGAAGGGGAAAAGCGTGATCTTGGTGGTCCGACTGTGCGGAACGACGCGGAGGCTTGCGCTGGTGTGGTCGTGACGGAGTCTCCGGAATTTGATGTTCCCAATGACAATTTGGATTCTCCGCAAGGGAAGAAGTTTGGGATAGTTTATCGGCGTAAGCGGCAGAGGCAACTTCAGAGTAGTGCGGTGGTCTCATCTTTGTCCGCGGGTGATGGGACTGCCGAGATAGACAGAAGATTTGGGTTGTTTTTCAGTCGGAAAAGTTGCAGGAAGAGGCTAAAGGTTGCGCCTTTATACGAAGGAATCAAATGCGAACCAGCAAACGTTGACATGGACCCTGTGGAAACCTCGATGAAGAGAAGAGTTTCGAAAAGAGAGCTTAGGGCTGCGGTATCTGCACTTAACTTTGCAAAGAAGATCGGCATTATGGAAGATAGTTTGTGCACTTGCATCGGTGGTCCTGTGGTGCTCTTGCTGCTTGTGGAGCTCTCGTGCTTGGGCAGTTCACTTTTCTTCTCGAGACTCCTGATTGCCATCCTTAGATGGACGAGGAGGGCCACGGTGTCAGTTCGGGAATTTGCTTTCTTCCTACTATCCGGGTCCTTGGCAAGTGTCTTCTCTCAGCAGGGAGTCCACGTATTACCAATCCGGTGGCACAGAGATGTAAGTTTGTTCTGTTTAGATGTTTATTCTCAGTTTTTTGCTTTCAATATTGATATCTCGTATGCCTAAATGTCTGAGTGCACTTCTCTTCCTATATTTTGTTTCAGAATAATCTGTTCGCAAATGCTCTACCTTCTTTCGGGCTATGCAAGATTTATGGTGCGCGACTGTCTGTTCCATTAGTATGGCTTGATTTTTCGGCCCTTCCGTTCTACTTTAGGAGCTTGCACATCAGCATGCTTGTTGGGTCCCTTTATTTCCCTTGTGTTCTTAAGAGGCACTCAATGTACTCGCATCCTGATCCCTCTGCAATGGTTGATACTGGACAAACTTTTAGTCATACTCTCAAGGAGGCAGGTTGTTTGGGAACTAAACTTTCGGGGACCCTTGTTTTTGAGAAGCACAATTCTAAGAATGTTGCTTACAAGTCCATCACACGAAACACAACTATTTTCTGTGGTTCAAGGCTAAGCATGCTTCGCAGAAAGAGAAGTTCCTCTAGATTTTTTAGAAGTCGGAACCCATCTTTGATGAGTTCTCATCCAGAGGCCCCACTATCATTACACTCTAGCCAGAGTGGTTCTAGCAGTTCTTCTGAAGCTGAAGCAGGTTTTCTACCGGTACCCATGATAAGGCCATTATTTATTGAAGTGCCTGATGCCTGTGCTGAGGACTCGTTCAGTTGCAAAGATGAGAGTGATGTGTCAACTCCTATCGGTTTTCATCGGAAGCAGAGGAAGTCTGCCAAGAAGAGCCCTGTAGAGCAGAATAGGGAACTGAAATCTGCTTTGGCGGAGGTGAAGCAGAACATAGACTCTGTACATTGCAATGCAAATGTCTTAGTTACTGATGCTGACAGGTGTTGGAGAGAGGAAGGTTTTGAGGTCATGTTGTTGTTGGCCTCTAAGGAATGGTGTATAGCAGTTAAATCACAGGGTGAAGTGAGGTACTTGCATAGGCCTCTGGATATGAGGCCTTGTTTTGTTAATCGATTCACTCATGCCTATATGTGGGCTGGAGATGGTAGGTGGAAGCTTGAGTTTTTGGATAGGTGGGATTGGCTTGTGTTCAAGGAACTGCACATGGAATGTCATGAGCGAAATATGCAGATGTCCTCCAGGATGATTCCTGTGCCCGTGTTTAAGGAGGTCCCTGGTTATGAGGATGATGCTGGAGCTACTTTTGGGTGCCCTGATGAGTACATCAGAATGATGGATGATGAAGTTCAGCGGGCTTTATCAAGCAAAATTGCTATGTATGATATGGACTCAGGGGATGAACAGTGGCTCATTAAATATAATTCTAGCATTCTACATATAGAGACTAGTGAATTTGTTGATATTACAAAAGACAGTTTTGAGAAAATAATTTATGCAATGGAGAAGGATGCTTACAGCAATGTGGATGATGTATTTGACAAGGAAAAAGCATTAGATCTTTATCAGCATTTCGGAAAGAGGGAGACGTTGAATGCCATCTATGACTATTGGATAAGAAAGAGGAATAAGAGACATGCTGCTTTAGTTAGAGAGTTTCAGGTATCTGTAAGTATTATATTTTTCTTTTTCTTGTTCTTTTTTGAAGTTTTATAGGTCGTAATTAAGTAGCAAAATCAAGTTTACTATTTTACTGGTTGCTTCCGTTATCTATAGTTTATTATTGCTGGCAAGTTGGCTGGGTACAGTTTATTGTGGATTTTTTTTCACTTTGCTAATATATGGTTTAAGTGCTGACAACTCTTGTGGTTTTAATAAATTTTTCATCAAAAAGCCCAAGGTTTGATGCCTACTACAGCTGCAGTGTTTATTTTTTTTGTTTGATGAAGTTTTTATGGTTTTTAATTGAATAAAATTGTTAATGACTTGATCACAACTCTTGGTTCATTATTTCTATTTTCTTTCTTGTGAGAGTTCATTGCAAAATTTTATTGCATCATCTGTACTATGAATTTCCTCATCGTGAATTTTCCTCACAGTGGATTAATGTCTAACGTGTTCTGGTTTTAATTATCACCTATAAATGTAATGATCATGCATCAGTATCATGTTTCACAACTTTTCTGCGATTTGTCTAGTCTGAGGACAACATTAATTGTGCTGTTGATACCCTTTGAGCTTAAGATGCTGGTTGCTTGAATAATTCACTTCTCGTTTTTTGGTAATGGTTTATGTTAAACTCTTTTTAGGTTTTGACTTATTGTCTGACTTGGTGCCCTTAATATACTTTTCAACAGGGTCCACCTTTGCGTAGGGTGCAGTTGGCACATAAACCATTTCTGCGCAAAAAAAGATCTACCAAGAGACAACGAGTACAGACACCAAGAGCAAAGCCGGAGGTCATTTCACAAGGTTTGTTTTGCCTTTCCTGGAGAATGAGTCTATAAAATCAAATATAGATGTCTCTCAAAATTATGGTTGGAAGATATCAGTTTAGTGTGCTGACTCATGCATTTTTTTCTAAATATAATCATTTTACAATATTAATTTTAGTTGGCATTTAGTTTTTGCTTATCTCTAAAATATCAATTGAGTTAAATGAGGAAACACTTCTAGAGATTGAAGAACAAAACATGACTCCTCCATAGTTGTTTTGATATCGTTTGGCTAAAACTGAATCATGTCTGTTGGTTTTTACTACAATATATTTGTCTATTATTTGGGTTAAAGCTGATGTCTCATATATAATCTTTTTTTTTTTCTTGGTTTTTCTTGTGGCCTTTTCTTAGTATCATCATTTTATATTTATGCTATTTCAAATGTTGTATTTTTTGCTTTTGGCATAATCCAAATTGAAATGTTTCATGTGTATTGAGTTTGCAATTCATTGCTTTGAAAATGACACACCTGCTTGTGCTATATGAAGTTCTTTGTTTAGGGACCCGAAACTGATTTATCCAGAAGACTTTTTAGATGTTCAATATGATTCCTTGGTTACCCTCAATTCTTTCCTTGTATTATGAAACGGTGAACTTTTATCCATCCATTTTTCTCTCACTCAGAAGTTTTTTTTCTGACATTTTGTAAGAATATATTTAGAGACAAGCTGGTTGCATTTCCATCTTTAGACAATTTTAGGAGTTAATTGGTTATCTATTTTTTTTGCTTTTCTGGTACATGTGATTTTAATTGGTAGTGTCAATTGTATTATAGCTGGGACTAACGTGGAAGACTTGCAAAGGGTTCAAGAAGCTGAAAATGCTGCAAACCGAGCTGTGGAGTTTGCCATTCATCTACGGAATAGAGCTCAAATTCTCATGGCAAATGCTGAGCTCGCAGTTTACAAGTCTGTCATGGCTCTCAGAATTGCTGAATCCATGGGGGCATCAGATGCACCTGATCTTGCTTCATTCATTCTGGACTGAGCGCAAAGGGATTTCCAAATGCTTATATAGCAAGCACCATGTCCACTGCGGCATTGGGAGCTCCTGATCTTGCTTCATGCATCTTGCATTGGTCACCGGAAGCAGAGAATGTACAGGAGCTTCTATCAATAGAACAAAAATGAAGAAAATAACACTGTTGTTCTTTCAATAGATTCTTTGTTTTTGGTTTCCTTTTTTTATGTGCTGCCAGATGCTTCTGGCTGATTAAGGAAGGTTGATAGGGCTGTTTTCTAAGCCATTTTTGAGGTCGGTTTCCTGAAATTTATGCGAATCGGACCGTAAGCCTCTGTATAAAATGATAGTTGGTTGTAGCTTTTGTAAATTGTACCAGTATCACATTGCATTTGTAATCCTTATCTTTATGATGGATGAGAAGGGACTTCAGACTGTCACTAACAGTATAAAATTCAGCTGAGTGCTGTTTCCTTCCTATCACTGAGATTCTGAGCTGCCTGTAGCCCATCTCGGTGTTAGCTTCTGGTTTTACTGTCTTCATCAGTTAATTGAAACTTGAGTTCTACTTTAGAAACTGTTGGTTTGGTTTCGATCCTAAGACAGTTTATGTATGAATATTGATTAGTGTTCGTACTGTGATGCAATACACTCATATATGAATAGTTTGTCACACATTTAATTAGTTTTATCTGATTAATAATTATATTTGTGATATTTTTGTTGGTCATTTTGAATGAACGTATGAAGAAATCATCTGTGGATCCCTCAATAGAGGGAAACGGAAGCGTCGTTGGGGCCTTTCCGTTAAATAGGGGCTTTTCCCGCGAAGTCCATGACGGGAAGTGAAACGAAAGGAAACGCGTGGCGATGAGAAGGAAAGAGAGTTTATTAGGGTTCGCGTTCTTCTCTCCTCCGCTTTCTCCACCTCTCTTCTCCTCGTTGCGATCTAGTCGCGAGGAACCGGGAGGGGATCTCTCAAGAAGCTAGTCGCCTGGTCTCTCGCCCTTCGGAAAAACCGGCAGGTGGCAGCAGCTTCACGGGTACCAGGTCTATACCCCTAGGCGTTTCATCCTGCCGCTCTCCTTTTATTGGCCTTCTCCTAATTTCAAGATCGGAAGCTTTAAATGCTTGGGAACCTGGTCTAGAGCAGGGCGCTGAATTGATGAGCGAGCATGGGATAAATGTGCCAAAGGGAATCGCTGCTTCATCTGTTGAAGAGGCTAAAGATGTTGCTCGATCTGTTTTCCCAACGAGAAAGAGGTGTGTTTCTTGTCTTTCACAGTCCCTATGACACTGACATTTCCCTGTTTCCATCAAGTTTTACTTGAATGTTTAAAAATCATATGTGAGGCGAAGATCATGGATCATGTTGTTGGTTTTTATGACCATTTCATGCTCACCTTACATGGTGATGTATTGAGTACTCGACAAGGGGCATGGACTTCCCAATTTGCTCCAAATATATATGCTGCTATGAAAGAGCTGCCCATTTTATCTTGTATGTAGTCTTCAAATTGAGGCCTGAAAAGCTGACTTTGCCTTATATTTATTTGGGTAGATAATTGTCAGATTCCTCGGCGTGTTTACATGATGTTACAACTTAAAAAGTTCGGTCAACCATCATATAATCACGTTTCTCATGTTATAAATGTAAAAGTGATCTGTTTGTAAAAATCGAGGAAGCATATCAAAATCGAATAATAAAAAAGGAACATCTTGTGAGATGGAAACGTTTGTTCACATACTTAAGATATTATTACTTATGGTACACATTATCTCGTTTTGAAATGTATTTATTTGGCCTATATTTCAAATTTTGTTTTACTATTTCCAGCTGTATATATTAGGATGTTTCAATTTTCCCTTTTTCTGTTTTTACATATTGATCATCCTGAACAAAGTAACTTAGAAGATTGTGTGTTTTTCTTTAATTTAATTGGATTTTCCAGAGATTGTGGTCAAAAGCCAAATCCTTGCTGGTGGCAGAGGCTTGGGAGCCTTCAAAAGTGGACTCAAGGGTGGAGAAGGTATTGTTAAGACTGAGGAGGTCACAGATATAACTGGCGAGGAATGTCCTTTATCGCTATCTTTTAATTGGCAGGCATGCTATATTCATCTATCCACTACTAGTTTACCATTAAAGGCATGGAACCTTGTGTTACATAATCAAAGCCTACAAAATGCAATTCTATTGTGCCCTATCAGTTACTCTGTAATGGATATAATCCATGACAGATTGCTAGATAAATATATTTCTTATTTGATTTGTATAAAGAAATGGATATCTGATTGCTAAGTCACACTAGAGATGTGGGGTATGTTTGTTGTATTGGTAAGACCGTAGAACACTACGCATCATAACATGCTCCTACAGAGCAAATCTTGAATAGGTATCAAGAGATTAATGTATCATATTTTAATGTGTAATTTTGTTTTATATGGTTAGGATGTTAAAATAATTTGTGTAATGCTTTTGAATTGGAGATAAGAGGATGAGGCTGTAAGGAAGTTAAGAATCACAAAGTGCTACTTTATGTGCTTTGGGTTCTTAAGTATATAATGGTACAGTACATCCTTAAGATCATGTGCTGCTCTTCCAAGATACATTTTCATTCGCATTTGGCACATTCTTTTATTATGGACCATCTTTTTCTTCTGCAGGTTGCCGCTGCCAATGCCGATCTGAGTTATATTGGTCTTGATGGAGAAATCGGGTGCATGGTCAATGGTGGATTGGTAATGACTATGATGGATATAATACGACCGCAAGGTGGTACACCTGCTAGTTTACTTGATGTTGGTGGCGATGCATCGGAAAGCCAGGTTCAGATTATAATATAATGACTGGTGTTTGTATTTGTTGAATTAAATTCTTAAATGTATACTCTTGAATTTTCTTTTAATGTATACTCTTCGTTAAGTAGATGATTGCAAAAGAAAATTTCTAAGATGTCTCACAGTTGTTTGGGTAGAACATGGAGACTATAACGCTAGTTATAGGAACATCTCATTCATCGTCTCCTTTCTACAATTGTTTTTTAATTTATTATCATGAAAAAGTTTCAAGTTACCTTTTCTAAATTTTTCTTGATAATTTGTTGCTCAGGTTGTGCACATTTCATATTCTAACATCCAATGACAAAGTGAAGGCAATTTTGGTCAACATATTTGGAGGGCATAGAAATGCAACTTGATAGCAAGTGGAATTGTCAATGCACCCAAACAGGTACTAATCTGGCTTCTGACTGACATCGTTGTCTTTCGACTTCCATTAACATAATCTTTTATTTAAGTACTTTATATGGACTCTATTTCCTTATTTGTTTCACTCCTTAAATGTACAATTTCTTTGGACATCATTTGTTTTCAGAAAACTTCATCTCTGTTACATGCTAAAATCTTCATTAAGCTCCAAAGTCATCTGATTGGATCCTCCAATAGATATTCATCTAGAACATGAATCGACTCAGGTTAGAGCTTGACTGGACCCTTTTTTTTTTGCTTTATATGGTAATAGCATAATTCTTTACAAAGTTTTAGAAACATTGTGAATAAATAAATTCATTGTCACACAATTTTATGATTTTGGGGATATGATTAATATATGTCTGGTCGAGGGTTGGTTAACCCTGGGTGCAACATTAAGCTCATTTCTTTTACACTAGATGAACTTATAGGTGAATAACTAGAATTACTCATCTTGGTTATCCTGGTGTTGGATTAGCATTACTTACTAATATGTTATTCATTGTGAAGTGAATAATGGTTAAAATTGTCAAAAAATAAGGGATAAATCATGTGATGCCCTTATCGTTAGCATTCATAAATGAAGGAATTTATGCAGAGAACAATTTCAATGAAGAGGAAATATAAAGTGATGCCCTTAAGATTTTTGACAAGATTCCAAGGGCAATCAATTTCTTTTTCATGACAAGATAACAGAGATTTGTGATGAAGTTGCATAGATCATTTAATGATAGGCAGTATATGCGACCAAGGGATACCATCTTAGTTTTAGTGAGATGGGTTATGATAATAGAAGAAGTAATATCACTAGGATTTTTGTTCTTGGTGGTGACCAAATCAAGTATGACATAATACTCCAAAACTGAGACAGTTAAGATGGATATGCTGTAACATTTTCTAATAAATATAGCTGAGGAGCTTAGGACCTACAGCAGATGAAGAGAGGCTGAAAAGTATATTGGATAGTAGAGATACGTGATTTTGTCTTCCAATGAGCAAGAGTTATTTGAAAGAGTTTTGAAGGATGTACCTAAAATGCTGAAACAGTTTTGGAGGATGAACAAAGATGAGGCAAAGATCTATATAAACCATGGGGAAAGACCATGAGAAGCAAAACATGTAATGACAACAGAGGTTATTGTTGATAAGGCCATCTCGAGTAAAGATTACTGAGTTCAAACCAGAAGTAGGCACAATGTGTAGCCTTATATTTTCATTGTGTTTTTTCCTCTATCTCATTCCTCAAGTTTGACAATGAGAGGATTGAGAAAAGGATTTCATAATGAGAGATTAAATTTTTATTTTTTTATCTATTTTTTTAATTTTTTTTTAAAATTTTTGGTATATATATATATATATATATATATATATATATATATATATATATATATATATATGGTTCCGGACTGTCAGGCACCGATTATGGGCCTTCAGCGTTATCGTAAGGCCAACGCCAACGTAGCTATCGTCCGTCGCCGTGTAGACTGCGTGCACCGACTGTCACTGTGCAGCGTTGTCGAAAGGCCAACGGCAACATAGCTATCGTCGTTTCGGCATTTAAAGATGCATCTGTGCTTATGCAAGACGACGGCACGGCGGTCCTATTAAGAGCTGTCAGGGCATTTAAGACGCGTTGGCTTCCATAAGTGTTTGGTCTTTTCTACCCTCGTAGGCCCCATTCATTCTTTAATCTTCCCCCATGCATTCTTCATTTCCTAGGAGACTACACGTCGGTCTTTATCATATCTTTCACACATACATACAACACAACCAGCAGCTCACTTAGCATAAGCTAATTGTTTATAGAATTGCAGCTTCTTAAGTAGCCAAAACAACCCAAAGATAATATAGAGCAGCAATCAAACACCACCACACTCATGCCCTCCTCTTCAGGTACTCAGCTATCCCCTCGGAGAGGCAGTAAGCAATGGCTTGGATGGTGATCATGGGATTGACCCCAACTGCAGTGGGGACTACACTCCCATCACACACAAACAGCCCCCCTGCCTCCCAGCTCTCCCCTCTCTCATCCACCCCACCCTCCTCCTCGCTCGCCCCCATCCTGCAGCTCCCCATCTGATGCGCCGAGCAGTGCAGGGTCCACACATCACTCCTAGACCTCGGACCACCCACACTGTCGATCCCATCCAAGAACTCCTCCAACTCCTCTTCCTTCATCCCTTTACATTTGATCGTTTGCCCGTCGCTCCTGTGAGTCCCCACCTCCGCCGCACCGGCCGCCACCAGAATCCTCAGAGCTCTCCGCAGCCCTTCCCTCAGATTCTCCTTGTCCGACCTATCTAACCGATACTTAAGCCTCCCCTCTCCCTCGATAGTTCCCGCTCCTCGGTCTCTTACCAGCGCAAAGACGTGTGCCGTTCGACTGTACCTGAACATCTTCTCCTTCATGTCCTTTCCTGACACCCATGGGAACAGGGTGGCAAACGACGCAGGCCCCAACACCGCCGTCTCTATGATCGAACGCGTCGCGTTTGAATTCTCGGAAGCTTTCACTTTGTGCAGTGAGGTGATGATCCCTCCTTCGAAGATGTTGCCCTTGAGGTCCGATACGGATTCCGGGAAGTAGCCCCAGGCAAGCAATACCGGGTGAAGACGAAGGTTCTTGCCTATGTTGGGGTTCCTGAGACCGCTGGCGACCATCAGTGGCGGTGTTAACAGAGATCCACAGGCAGAAATGGTTGCCTTGGCTTCGATCCTTAGCGTCTTGGTGATCGCGTTGTTCAATGTTCTTGCAATCAGTCCCAAACATTTCTTCTTCTTCTTGCTGCTGCTGTCTTGCCTGTCCTCTTCGATTATGAACCTCTCGGCCTTGCATGCAGTGATGATCACTGCACCACGGTCGACCGCATCAACCAGCCAAGTAGTATCCGTGCCACGTTTATCTCCGCTCCTGCAACCATAACAGCATGTACCGCAGTAATGGTCCTCGGAAGAGTTTCTTGGCACCGACTCCACCTCGAGGCCCAAATTCTGGCATCCCCTTCGAAGAACTTGGTTCTGAAATCCTTCCTTGGTGCACTTCTCCGTGACACCAAGCCTTGCACAGACCGAATCCATGGCTGAGGTATAGGTCGGCGAGTCGAAGAGTCGAAGATGGTGTTCTTCTGCCCATTCCCTAAGCACAAAATCCGGTGTCCTAACACAAGCTGCCCAGTTAACAGCTGAGCCACCCCCCACCGTGGAGCCAGCCATGAGCATCATCTTCACGTCAAGACTGCTTAAGATTCCACCGGCCTCATACAACTGATCCATGGACGGGGCTTCCAGAGCGGTGTAGTCTTCCGCCGTGAAGTAGTTGCCTTTCTCGACCACTACCACCTTGTGGCCGGAGCTCGCAAGCACTGCAGCAGCGACTCCACCGCCGCAGCCGGAACCAGCTATGACGACATCACAGTTGATGGTATAGGTGTGTTCCCGAGGGTTGTCGGTGACCGCCAGGCCTTTCTCGATCAGAGATTGGCGGAGCGAGGAGTCCGTCTTGTCCATGGTCTCGATGATGCCTTTCTCAAGCGGCCTCTCTCCTCGAGACTTGTGTGGTTTCTCCTCGGAGGGAGTGTTGTACCCAATTGCTTTCCACGCTCTATTTTCCTCCTCTTCATTAGTCTGCCAAGAAAGGACAAGGATGAAGCATCCTAGCAGAACTCATCTGTACACGAGTAACGAAAGAAGAGATTGCAACTCCCTGAGCATCAAGGAAACACAAATTTGACTCTTTGAAACTTGCATATGATCTTAAAGTCTGCTCTTGCCTTGTTTTACATCAAAGATGATGTGACAGAGGCATCATAAATTGGGAAGCCAGTTAGACCATGTTACAAGTCTATCTTTACAGATGAAAAGTGCTGATTAAGACTTAGACTTTTGGAAGGAGTCATCACAAGAACATCTACAAGAAATCAATGAAGTCACTTGATCCATTTAGGTTGCAGCTTATGGGAATTGGGTAGTTGTTTGAAACAAAAGATGAAGACACTTTGCCCAGTTAGGTTGCAGCTTATAGGAATTGGGTAGCAGTTTGAAACAAAAGATGAAGACACTTTGTCCTTTTGGGTCATGGCATAGCAAATTTCTTGCAACTTGCACATGAACATCACATCAAGTTCTTGTGTCACTGTCCTTGGTTTCCATGAAGGAACATCTGACATCTAAGCATCTAAATACATGTATGTCCTGAATTGACCATCTAGGTTGTAATCCACAATATTTGCTGCCTAGAATTCTATGCAACATTAAAGTAATATGGAAGCCCTAGTTTTGGAAAGAAGAAACCAGAAGAGTTGGAGGACCATTTACCATAGAGTAGAAGACATAGAGACAGAAGACCTTGACTATCACAAACACCAGCCTCAGGAATATGAAGGACTTCTCCCTGTTCCATTTCATTAGAATGTGTTCCCTCTTCTCCACAGGCATGTCTGAGAACTTGTTGATGAATGGGAACCTCCATGACAGACTGAGAGATCCACAAAGGACAAGTGTGCCCAGCCTTGTAGCAAGGACCCACAGGACCAATTTAACCAGAGCAACAGCTTCCTTCTGGCCCCTCCTCACCAAGAGCTCTGCAACCTGTTCAAAAACAGTAAATGGTATCAATGACTGTAGGGAGACCAACTCCAAAATCAAACACAACCAGTACCAGATATTTTTGTGTAAATACTGACCAACCCCATCTAGGCGAGAGAGAGAGAGAGAGAGAGAGAGAGAAAAAAAAAAGGAAGGACCAGCATTGGATGAGAAGACTTGACTTGAATCACCAGTCACCTGTCTTCTTTTGTAAGGGGCATCTCTAGGTTTGATTTGAGAGACTGTACTTCTTTGTAGATTCTTTTATCATCTTTGGTAAGGTGATGGAATGAATGATGGAACCCAACCATGAAGATGGGATGGCTTCATGGTTGGTGGCTGTAGGTATGAACAGATCTCAGTTACCAAGAGAGTGCAGCCGGCGGCACACAACCAACAAAATCCCATGGCAGATGCTGTCGTATTTAACATCCATGATACCAAGATCGAATCCATATAGGATCTTATTTCATGCATCTAAATCTAAATTAAAATAGAAGGAAAAATAGTTTCCAAACACACACAAGTCAAGGAGACAGAAAGAAACAGGGGATGGGCACTGTCAGAGAGGGAGAGAGAGAGAGAGAGAGAGATGGAGGCAAGGAAGAAAGGCGCACCTCATCCGGCACAGGGGAGTCGGAGCCGGAAGCAAGGAAGAAGGCCTCGACGGCCTCGTCGGGCGCCTCATCCTTTCCACCACCGAGGCAGGCGGCCTCGATGGGCACGGTGGGTACGAAGGTCCCACACATGGCGGACAGCGTCCGCATCTGGGCGGCCGAGAGGCCATGGCGGTAGCCTCCCTTCTCCGCTCTCCTGCCTCCTCTCAGCAGCGGGTGGCCTCCCCTCCTCTCCATGCCTTCTCGCCGTCCTCCTTTTGGTCCATCGGAAATCGTATATATTATGAATTCGTGGGCTCGGCCAAAAGTCCTATGCCCACGTTGATGGCAACATCAGCAATAATTGTTTTTGAGTATCCATGATTAATATAATATAATATTTCTATATAATATTTCCAAATCAGAACTTTATATAATACTTGGATGTAAAATTCCCCACGAAAATCTCTATTTTTTTTAATTGAATAAAAAGATCTTCAACAACTAATTTGTCTTTTTTTCCTTCTTTTGCAAAAATGAACAGTGACATAACTCAATATTAAATCAGTCCTAAATTAATAAGATCAAATAATATTCAAATATTTTTATTTATGTTAATAAAAATATAGAATATTTGTAAAATTAATCTTTTATAAAATACAAATAAAATCATATTGTTAAATATTTATATATTTTAGATGAATAAAATTAAAGTCATTAATTAACCTAATAAATGATCAGCATTAATCTTAAAGAAAATTAAATTTTCAAGAAACCTTAGAAATAACTTACCAACACCTAAATGGTCATTTTCTTTTATGTTTTAAGCCTTTAACATATATATATATATAT